AATACTCTTAAAATTGTTTGATAAGATTGTATGAAAATGATCCAAACCTTATTTTCCCCTTGAATAAATGGCGTTTCATAATTTTTCACCTAAAGTGCGTTAACATAGTTCACACCTCTTTAAATAATAAACATCTACTGTTGGTGACAATTAATGTTTAAAGAAGCCCAAAGTAGACCCGAACACATCAAACGCCTATTAAAAAGTAAATATAGCCTGCCGGGAATTTCCTGGAAGAAATCAATTTGGTTCCACGTATATTTCACACAACGTAAACATTATTTGAAGTTTACGATGTGCAGTGCGATACGTTTTTAAATAAAGAAAAATTTATTGGGAACTCCGCTGCAATTGTTTTGCAGTTGTAACTGGCCATCGATTAAATACGGACGCCGGCGTAGTAACACAGAATTTTGTTGCAATTCATGTCTCTGAATGAGACGCGACGTATTGCCTAACCTTGGCCCATGCCCGAATATTTAAAATTTAAAATAGCTCCGATACGAGTCGCTTGCTCCAAAAGATGTGTTTTTGATCATTTTGGGATATAGGTGATGGTGACCCAAGGAGATTGCATTTTTATTGAGTCTTATGGGCTATTACTGTAAAAAGCAAATTAATCATATATCAAATGTATGAAACTGGATTATTTAATATTTTTGGTTAATTTGCACGTCAGTAAGTTTTCTAGAGCTTAAACTTGTATAAAGTAAGCTCAAAAACTGAAGTAATTTTAAAATATTTTTTTGATCCAATTTCGATTCACCATTCGCATTTAAAATATGGAGTCTCTTTTCATTTTTATCTGTTTTTTACCTGGCAAAGTTTTTATATTATTTTGAACAGAAACATCGTTTTTGTTTTATTTTTTTTTATTTTTCGTAACTAAACTTAACTTTTTTTTGTTAACTAAATCGTTAAACACAACTAAACTCAGCATTTGCAGGAGACACACGCATTTTTGCCTATATATTGGTTTGGTTTTTTTATGAACACTCAGGAACCTTGATCTTGACTGCTTTGATTACCATACACGTCTAAATTAGTATATTATGCAACAAGTTTGACAAACTCCATTTTAGTTGCTAGTTTGATTTGACACGAGTGGATCCCAGCGAAGCGAGTTCTTAACGAATGACTGAAGAAGTTTATCAACGTGTTGTGTACCATACTTTTTCTCTGAATACAGCACGACATTCACTGATTGACGTGGAGCGTGACTGTCTGACTGAACTGACAAACGTCCAAGTATCATGCTAAAATCTGCCGAAAACATCCGATAGAAAAATCGATGTTGATTTCTTACCTTAAAGATTAAATTTTCAAAATAATCCTATGTCCAGTTTTCCATGAACATCTAACATGTCGTCAATTAAATTGATTTTTTTTGTTGTTGTTTAGTTTATTATTTTTCTATCTTGTTCTAGGTATGCCCATGTATGCCGAATTGGTAATAAGCAAGGTAAAAGAGCGACTGATGTATTAAACAGTCCTCGTGTAGACAATAAAGCCAGTTGTGAAGTTTTCCAACAAAGAAATTCTGCGCCTTTCGGGTCCTCTTTTCCTTAATTTTTTTGTCTGAAATTGCTTTTCAATTTGTTAGTGAATTTTGTTCAGTTTATTAAAAATATAAAGTAGCGACTAGCGAACAATATGCATTGCATAAAAAATATTAAATTATTAATGGCACAGCTCTATCAATAAACTATTTACAAGCCACATGATGCCTTAATTTAATATAAAATTAAACTCAAATAAAATCAAAATAAATATGAAACAACTAGTAATTATAACTATACAATTTACGTAAAAGAATTAAAATAAGTATGTTAATTTTATGAAGAATAAAATGAAAATCCTTTTGCACTTTTCGGTGCCAGACAGTAATGGAAACGAATAACTGATTGAAAAATAAGTGCATTGTTGTGCTTCCTTAATATTAAGGTTTTTAAGTATGTTAGACATCCACTTATCTCAAATAGAATAAATTATTACAGTCGGTCTCTTGTCTCATACAGAAATTTTCAGAGCGATATAACAGCAACTTCGAACTTGGCATCGATCTATCAGTGATCGTGTAGTATCTTATCATAAACCCCGCTTTCAGTTTAATGGAGCCAAAACTATGAAGTTGATATTGAAAATCTTGAAGAACTAAAATACTAATGATACTAAAATAATAATACACTTTTGATACTAACCAAATGAAACAGCCACCAGGATTAAATTTTAAAAGAAAACTTAGATAGAAATCTGAAAGATTTAAACCACTGTTAACAGTTTGGTGTTGCCCAAAGTTTTTTTAAGCCGTGTGAAATTGTGATGTTCCAAATTAATCGAATTTATAAACAAATGACAATTAGCTCTCAGCATGCCTATTGCAAAATAGATCAACTGTAACCGCCATTTTTCAATTAACTAAAGTAACACTTAGCTATTTGATAGCCCAGATCATGGAATTCTGTTGGAGATAATGGAGAGATATAGAATTTTTTACTAACGATTACGAACTTAATAGATAATTTTAGATAATTTCTTGATTACTAATTTTGCGAATGACAAACATCTGAGTATCTGGGGAAAATCTGTACGAAATAATAAATTAATTTTAATTTTATGTAAAACAAACTAACTGCTAAAGTTAGTAAATTTTATAAAACAAACGCTGAATTTATAGAGAATACTAAATATATGAGTTTACATAAACGAATTGCCAGAATAATCGGTAGTAGATAGATTAAGTTTGTATTATTGAAAAGAGAACCATAAGATCTATGAAAAAAGGGCAGTACAATGACAATGACAATATGCTTCGTGGGTACCCGTCTTGCAGAATACAGCAACCTATATTCTCTTAGGGCTAATGCTGGACTCTTATTATTTATTATGTAACATTCACGAAGACCTAAATGCTCTTGAACACCATAAAAAACCTTTATTTCTTTTAAAAAAAGTAGATAACAACTAATCGTGAAATAAAGACTGTGTATTTCTTCACAGGCAATAATTTTATGAGTTCCTTTTTCTCCATGGATATCTTTTAAAAATAAAACGTGGATGCTATTGCGGAAATTGAAACCATACTACATTTTAACGGAGGTTAGAAAAAGTTTTGTAATCAGTATAAGTTCTATTTATTTGCATTAGTTGTTGATTTTATTTTGAATTTGAGTAATTAAATTAATGTTAAAAAAATAGTTAGGATAGGATATTATAGGGGGTTGGTTAGATTTAAAATAAAATACAGGAGCTGTTAGAGAAAATTGGCTATAACTTATAAACTACCACAGAATGACACAGAATTAAATCTTAAACCCAATAGAAGTTCTAAATACAGTGTTTTAAAAAAATTAAAATAAAATGTTTTTTTAACTAGAAAAAACATTTTTGTTGATGCTCATTCGCGACCACGTTGTATAATAAATATTTTTTCGCCATAGATAGGTCAAAGTATTAAATACCACTTCTATGAATCTACAATAAAAACTTCCAATTAAAGTTTTAAGAAACACATTTGAAGATGCCAAGTGAGATTTTGGCGAAACGTCTGCAGGACTCCAGTCGAAGTTCAACAAGCGAACGGATGATATCCCGGAATATAGTGTCATCCCATTTTTCCATCCGTGAATCAATACGTGAAAATGTATATATATATATATATATATATATATATATATATATATATATATATATATATATATATATATATATATATATATATATATATATATATATATATATATATATAATCGTTGTTGTTTGACGTTATTTCATTTTTACTTTTATTTTTGTAAAAGCGAATTGAAATGAAGAAGTATTAATAGTATTTTTAGACTTGCACATTTTCTTTTTCAGATTACATCTGTATGCGGAGAATACTTCGGAATCAGATACCTCACCTAAGGTATGGACGGTAATTTAAAGAAAAACAGGAAACCAAACCCACGGGAGAATGCGTTTCCGTTTTCCGCGGTTACGTTCTGGTGAGATTTTCGTTGAACATATGTTGCTGATATCGCTTGCTGAATGCAACAGTAACACTGATGCTTCACAGCATTTCGTATACAGCAAACCCAGTATTGCAAAATAGATCAAAAAATAGAATCAGGTCGAACTAAATAAAGTATGGCACTATTCCATTCGGCAAGTGATATCGTTGCCTGCCAGGAAGAAAGTAATTTGTGATTAAAGGCATCAGCTCCTTGTGTGCCCTATTTGGTATAGAATTACTCCAGTGCAAATACTCTCTTAAATCGTTAATGTATATAGGCACATAATTAACTGGATAAACAGTAGTCGTTACGCAGGCAATCGATCCATGGCTCGGGAAGCTATATTGCTATATGTACTTATATTTATTTATAGCGTCCATGGTCGTCCGCCAACACCAGATTTATTCTCACGCACGCCACAAACCTAATGTTGTGCAATAATTGTTTGACTTTAGAAAGCTTTGACTTTTTTTATGTGGCACAAACCCAATTGCCAATCATCTTTTTGATATCCGTATTAATTTTTAGCCTCTATCGACAATATATAAAACGTAATTATAAATATTTAAAGATCGATTTAATGATAATGAAGAAAAGCTGAATGCATTTCATGAATCTAAATTGGCTAAATGGGTATCAATCGTAAGGCGATAAATCAATTCTATTTTCAAGTTAAGAAATAATCAGATCATGAAGTCAATTGAATCTGGCGACTGGCGACGTTGATTTAGTTAAGCAAAGTCCTTAAAGCAAACAAACAATTATTTTTGTGTCTAGGAGAGAAAATCACCACCCTCATATAGAATGTCCAATTTATAAACCAGAATTAGAACTTGTGCACAAAAAGTTTTTTTTCCCACGATTTCTACGATTTGATTAGGAGCTTGATCTGACAGTGACAAGTTAAGAACTTAGAAAAATATTGTGAGCAACATGTGCAAAATGTGTAAACTGTTGCAGATATCGATATGTGCACTTCTTGCACTTTTTAAAGTCCAGTAAAATATATGTTGTATACTAGGGCAGTTTCTATACTTATTATTGAAATACACATCTTTGACCAAGACATACATTTACTGAAAATCTGCAGCAAACATGAATACAAATGTTACTCAGCATATTTTCTTCTTAAACGTTTTTCTATCCGGAATCTCTACTTCGTAGAACATGTTATCTTCACCAACCCACACGCTTCCATTTTCGCCTTCATTTAACATTTTTCGCAATCCTTCTGCTATGGGTTGAGTCGTCTGAGTCGGCATTGACTGCAGCAAGGCAGCAAGTTCCTGACCTAAACCGGGAAACCCCTGCAGCGTCCATTTGTCGGCGTCCCATACCATCGGTGTTTCGGTAACGCCGGGACATATTGTTAGAAACTTAACTCCCGTTAAATTGAAAAAGAAGGGCGAGCCCATGGATCTATCGAACCCGATGACAAAGTGTTTGGTACCTGTGTAAACTGGGCAGCCGAAACACGGTTGCATTCCCAAAATTGAAGAAGTATTTACAACGGTTCCACCGTTTCCACCGTTGTTTTTTCCCATATACTTAATACCCAAGAGACTCCCGTGTATCGTCGATTTGATGTTGAGGTCTATGGTCTGTTCCCACAACGAATCACGGAGGATTCCTGGAACAAATATAATTTATAAATAAGATAAATATGATTATTTCAAGAGTTATAGGGCATGGCTATAACGGTTCAGAGCAAAATAGTGTACTAAGGTAACAAACCCAAATCTACTTCTAATCCAACTTATCGAATCAATTCTATACTCTAATAAATAAATACGTCAAGGCATCTCGAACTCTCGTCTTGTTTCATATATACTATTAAATAATAAATCTCTTAGCCCAGTTCTTAAAAATAAGAATATTTTATGAGCATCAGCATATTTTAATACCTCATTTTAAGTCTGACACCCATGTTTAATATAGCCGCAATTTGTGGAAAACAAGTTTTAATCTCGCTAGTAAAATTTACGTTTGTTTATAAAAAATTGTGCTGTCGTTTCGGAACTATTAATTATACACAATCGTATTTTCCGTTTTGGTTATAAGACATTTAACCACTATTTTTTTCCACATCTAAGATGCGACACGGCGAAAAATATTGGTTATAGGGAAAGTTATACATTTCATATAAATTTATCTCTTTTTCAAATTTTTTTGTCTTAATGAATAAAGCAACAATAAAAATGAGGTTGATTTACTTTGTCGCCTCAACAAATTCGAAAATTGTCGCTGCAATGTGGGAATTAACACCGTCCATTGTACTTGGTCCATTGCAGCATAACTATTAATCTTAATTTTGTGTAGAACTAAACTAAATGGATTCGTTTGACTTTGGTTCTGGACAAAAAATCTGGTGCGCCTACTATTTTTTTCGTTTTTTTGAAAAAGAGTTATATTATAAGATTTGAACAAAACCAACTTAATTTTTAGTATAGAGTCTGAAAATAAAAAGCGGCAACACAAACATTTTTTTTAACTGCTCTGTATATTTAATAGATGACCGCGTTCTAATTTGCCCGAGCGTTAAGGCAACTTATTATCAGTTGAGGTTCTAAAATACTACCTGCGTTGTTCACCACGATATCTAAGCCTTTGAATGTTTGCATATTTTTCTCGAATACACATTCCAGCGCATCCTTCTGAATGGCGTCGGCTTGTATGAATAACGCTTTGCCCTCCCCATATTTGCAATTCATTTCGTCGGCCAATTCTTGTCCTTTTGGATCTATATCTGACATCGTGCATGCCTTTAGACCGTTTTGAAAAAGATCTTTCACATAAGCAGCTCCGATACCGTAAGTAGTTCCCGTGATTAACGCGACTTTCCCACAAACCGCTTCCATTTTGAACAGAAATTTTGAAAAAAAAAATTAACCTTCTATTTTGGCATTGACATTCGAATGTTGGCGACGGTGGTCTGGACAACAGCGTCAAAAAATAGAACCTATTCGTAAATAATATGTAACAGAATATGTGTCACAAAACAAAACTGTATAATTCTTGTAAAAAAATGAAGATAAGTTAAAAAACAATGCGATAGGTCTTAAAAATACTCGAAGCCATTAAAGATCTGCTCAAAAAAATTGCTCGATCGAGTTTCGAAGTCAAAAAAGGTTTTTCGTTGGTTTGTTCATCAATTGAACAATTTTTATCAGATTGCGCATAGTCAGTGTCAATATGTACAAATTGCGTGTAAGATTTTAATACATATTTTGGCATTGACATTCGAACATACGCCACGGGCGCGTATAGTTTAAAAAAATAGTTCCTATTCCTAAATAGCGTGTAACAGAATAACTATTACAAAGTAAAACTGTAGATTTCTTATGAAAAAAGTGAAGATAAATTAAAAAAACAATTCAGATTGGTCTTCAAAATACCGACAACCATTAAACTTTTGCCCTCATCTTCCAAAATTTTCAAACAAAAGAAACTTTTATTCTAAAAATTCTCTACGGTTTATTCTTCGATATACCTAGTGTCAAAGTTAAAAAAGGTGTTTGTTAGTAATTTTTACAACACTCGAACAATTTTTATCAGACAAGGAAATGAAATCAGCATGTAATTTTTTCTTGCTTAAAAATTAGCAGGCATCACTGTTTTAAGATAGTTAATATGGCAAATCCAAAAATAATCACCAGCAAAATTTGAAATATATTTTAGAAAGGCTTATTTTATGTCGACATACATGCCTTATATTTAATTTTTTTAAAGTAAGTCGTCTATCGAAATTTATTTTTTTCTATGTTACATAGGTTTCTCCTTAAGTTTGGGATAAGAAGAATGATACGGGTAGTCTAATTCCATCGCCTCCAGTCAGTTGAAAAGAAAAGAAGGAAAATATGCAGAGAGTGTGGTTTTATAATAGGAATACTTCCGTAATATTTTATTGTTCTATCTATTTTTATATAAATAAAATAATTCAAATATTATTTTCATCTTCATAGTAATAAAGTTTTTCGCATTTGTTTTGAACACCCTGTATAGGTTACGGACATTGTGGAAAATCGGACATGCAAACATTGTCCTATGACAAAGCTCACTGTAAATAATATTTCTCATATAAACACACTGCCAAATTAACCAAAACTATCGAATGTAAATGATCATGGTGTACATTCTCTGGACATTGCTAACATTGCCATAATTATGCACAATCCCCGTAAAATATACATAAAATATGACTTATGACGAATTTTTTTGGCAACAAAAATGTTTTTTTTTTGCAGTTACACAATACCTACATTTATACGCGGATTCAAGCGCGACTTAGAAGAGCAAGATTTAACAGAAACTCTATCGGAACACAAATCCGCCCGATTAGGCAACGAAATAGAGCGATGTTGGCGAGAAGAGGAACAGAGGGCATTAAAAAGTAACCGAAGTCCATCGTTGAATAGAGTGCTGATTAGAGTATTCGGTTTAGAGTTCCTATTTTATGGAATAGTTTTATTTTTAAGCGAAGCCATCAGGTAAGGATAATTGCAATCTGGGCTATTTTAGGTGTTTTCTTTATTTTTAAATTTTTACTCCTTAGAGAGAGTTTGTAAGTTATTTAGGAGTATGGACTTCATAAAATGGAGCTCGTTTGGCACATGGTTGTCAAACTATACACTCCGTCGCCAGCAATTCAATAAGTATCTAGAACAGTGTGGGCTCTGAGCGTAAATGTTCATTTTATAAATTGCTTTTTAATGTCCCAGTGACGATGATTGTGTTTTAATTATAGCAATTTTAACCAAAATCAATGAAAGCGAAAAACGTACTTCGGTGGACTGACTAAATGTTCTGTTGTATTACAGACAGACTAGTAACTTAAGTGAGAGTAAACAGACACTGTTCCACCTGCTAAATTGAAGGTTTTCATATGGGCATTTATGTTATATGCCCCAACGGAGTCATCAATTAGTATATAAATGAAACTATTTCTATAGACGGGAACCATCCTGTAACATTTTTATTTTGCGCCCCAAAAAAAAACTTTTACATAATATGCATAAACAAAATTGGAAAAATGATCAGCAAAAATTGGTAAAATAATTAGAAGTAATCAGAAATTAAATATGTAATAAAGTGGAGGGTATTTGTAAACTGTTCTTTAAAATAGTTACATAGTAATATTGTTACACTGTTACATTGTTAATAATGTCAAATGGTCAAATAAATCTTCCAGCATTAAAGGGTATGTGTTCGGAATATGCAAATTATAGATAATTATTTTGAAATTAATACGTTTTAAATATCCGCTGTAAACAAATAGAAAGTTTACCGTAAATGCTTTAAATAGCAATTTATGTACAATGCGGACCAAATTTTTTAAAAATAATTTAATGAACACAAGTACAAATTGTTGATAGGGCTTTAAGTTAATAGATACACAAAAATTAAGATATCTTGTGGAAAGCTAGATTTTTAAATTGTTTCCAAAACGTCTCAGTGATGGTTACAAGAAAACATCAGCACACACAAAAAAAAGAGATAAAGCGAAATATACCACTCAATGGAAAAGATTTTGATTGACTTTGATAATGGCTACTATACCTTCGATTCAGCAATTGCTTAAAATAAAACAGACGCACGAACCTGTACTTCGCATTTTTGTATTCTTTGAACTAGGATGTTGACATTTGCACATACAAAACTGTACCTGAAAGCACAGAAAATTTATCGTGACACTTTTTTCTGGAATAAATGTTTATTATCGTTGTTTGGTTTTTGAAACAGTAAGGCATTATTTATGTACTGTTATGACATGTAACGCATCATTCTGCGTTTTTATTGAATTTCTTTAGAATAACTGCAAAATAGAACAAGTTAAAATTTGTATAGGCTTTCTAAATTTCTCTGATGCAAACCTACATGTAAAACAAAAAGGTTACAGTAAAATGTCGCAAAGGAAACTTGTTAATTTTTTTTCAACATAAGGAAATCAGTTTAGTAAAAAAATTATCACAGGCATTATTTTTTATTGCTAGAATAAATCAACCGATATTTTTGGGAAATTTGGTGAGTTTTTTCACACCCCCAGATATAAACTACCCCGTTACGCTTAGTTCTTCCCAAGCGGCGAAGGTCGGCATTAATGACACTGCAAGTACTTGGAGCAACCACAGCATCCAATCACAGAAGGAAGAGTAAATATTGCAGTAGCTAGTTTGGTGTGTGTTTGGTTGCGTGTAGAACAGATTAGTATTTCCTGACCTATTCTGATCCAATATCTGTATTTGTAAATAATCCTTTGGGTGATGGTATGTTATTGTGAAACATAGTTTTGTAAGTTTTAAAACTTGTTTCACCAAAGTATTAACAAGATAAGAAGAAGCTCAGAATAGATAGAAATAAATAAAACAAATTGTTTACAACGCGTTAATAAATACCATTTTAGACACGGGTTTCATTTATTTCATTGATTTGATTTGATTAATAAGTGAGTGACTGAAAAGTTTATCAATGCCTTGCATACTATATTTTTTCTACGATTTTTGATACATTTTTGCAAAACAGCGCTAAAAGATTCACTGAATCACGTGGGACGTAACCGTCCGCATTGACAAACGTCAAAATGCCATCGGTAGCTAAAATCTACTACGTTAATAAGAAATAAAGTATCAACTTTTTTAATTTATATAATGCTGGCAAACTCGCAAACTATACCAGATCCGAGGATCGTTGAATTAGGGCAAAATTCGAAGTAGTTCCTGAGATATTCTAGCAAACCCAAATTTTCAATTTTATTTTATCACTTTCTTTAGCTATATGATTGATGCATAATTTAATATTTGCATATTTTGCATCATTTCTACAATGAACTGCACAATAAAATAACGTGGAAATCAACAATTTTCGTTTATCTTCGAATATCTTTAAACCTACTTGAAATTTTAGAAGTTTCTAAACGACGTATTGTTAAGTACTGGAATTAAAATCTTTACACCAATTTAAAGATCGTTGTATATATTATTATAGTTTTCGAGATCCCATGCTCGAAATTGAATTACTTTGTATATGTATACAGCCGAACGCACTATATATTTATATAAAACACACTTTGTTGTTTTTTACTTATGTTTCGATTTTTACATTTATTTCTCTTGGATAGATCTTAAACGTATTTTTAGTTATAGCGCAATTAAAGATGTGGACTCGGAATATGGTTTTAACGTGGAAGATCGAGATAGTTAGGCAATAAAAAGAAAATGGAGACAGGAATCGGATTTACTTGAAAACGTATTTTAAAATATATTTTCTCACTCCTAGTTTTGATTTTTTGAAATATATTCCCTATTATTAGGTTCATTTTTTTTGGACTGTTAATTTCTATTTATTTTTAAATATCTGTAAATCATTCTCGGACAGTTTTCTGAATTTTATTATTTTTAAAATAAAATAAATACTTATAAATATAATAAACATTAATACTGAAAAATTGGGACAAAAGATAAATATTTCTCACAAAATATATAAACACTGTTTATAAATCCTTTTCCACGATATTTTTCAAAAATCGCTAATAGTACTTTTAGCTTCTAAACCGTTTGACTATGAATTTAGCTGATACGATAAGCAAAATATAGTTTGAAGGCGTTTTAAAAATTTTTTCCTGTTTTTAGGTCAAATAGATTTTTAGCTTTCTTCTTCTACAGGCTGGCGCACTAGTGTGACGAGGCACTATATCATCTTATTTATCACAATTTAAAAGAATGTTTTAATAAATGCATAAATTCAAAAGGTAAACATTCTAAAAATATTTTTAATTATAAAGGGTGTTTCATAAAAAGATGGCAAAACACTATCCCTGCAAGAAATATTCATATTACACCGTGATTGGTTTTGAATTTTAATGCGATATGTATATTTTCAATATGTTTGATAAACGCGACTTTAGTCACGAGTTTGTTTTTGGACTAGCGGAGCGAGTGCTTCATAAATGAGTGTCACCAGCCACTATAATACGTTGATAAAATTTAATAAAAATTTATTGAACTTGTTGCATAACTTACTATTTTTTCGGAAATAGAAAACCCGGTATCTAACTATTTTGTTGTGGTCGGCTATCGGCCGTTTACCACTTTTGTTAAATAGCTGAGTCAAGTTATTCCATAATACTCAATTTTATTAATCGTTTAGAGAAATACACTGTTTTGATACTATTGCACCACCCTGTATGTAACGCTGTAAAATATTTTCCTCTAACTATGTATAAACGATACTGCAACTTTTTCCTTACGCTTATTCTTAGAGGTAGAACTTTCCTCGTTTGTTTCATAGTTATCTTGAATGCTCTTGCATTGCTATTATAACACTTCCGTGCCTTAAAAAAAAAAAGATTTCGGAATTTCATCATTAAATCGTGCCTAACAGTATTACTGTAATGTTTTTGTGCTACGAAGAAATCACAATTTTGCATTAGCGCTATCACTATTGGTGGTTGAAATTATAGACATTTTTACATTAGTATAATGATCCTGAGCCATTATGGCAATGGATAAATATGTGTATTAGTAAACAAACATAATAAAAAAAATTATGATTCTCTATGTAGTGAACCTCAGTTTAATTTTAAATCTGTAGATTCGTCAAATAGTTATTTATTTAACTAGTACAAAAACACTCGAGCTAGCCCTTTTGATTGTGCTAAAAAATGATAAATAGGTTCCAAAAATTTGCACAGGGTTGCTAAGTGTCGACTTACTGGTTACATTAATACTGCGAGGCCTCCTTCTTTTCCAGTCCCATATAGTTTGTGTATATCCTTTGCATCTTCGACTAAACATCTTGTAAATAACTGCTTTACTAAGTGCCCGTAACACAATATAATATAGGTGTCACCTAAATGCAATCAATATTTTTAGGCTTGTGCAGCCATTGATATTGGGTCCTCTTTTGCGATTTTATATGCCAAATGAGGAGGATATTACTTTAACTCAAGCTTACTGGTATGCAGCGGGGGTTGTGTTCTGCTCGTTAACCAATATTTTGATATCGTGAGTGTTAAACGTATTATTGGAAAAAATTATGCAACTGAGTTGAATATTTTAGACATCCTTATATGTTGGGTGTGTTGCATTTTGGAATGAAATTGAGAGTCGCTTGCTGTTCTCTCATCTATAGGAAATCACTTAGATTAAGTAAAGCTGCTTTAGGAGAAACGACAGCCGGACAGGTAAGCATCTGATCGACTAGGAATAAAGCTTGTAAAATCTGATTTACTCCTCAAACTCAGGTTGTCAATCTTTTATCAAACGACGTGAACCGCTTTGATGTGGCTGTTTTATTTGTTCACCAACTTTGGCTTGGCCCCTTGGAAACTATTATATGTACTTATTTAATGTATTTACATGTCGGAGTCTCCGCGGCCATTGGAGTTTTGGTATTAATATTTTTCGTGCCTTTACAAAGTAAGTATCATCAAAACCTCCATAAGTAACCGCTAAGTTTAGATAACCGTTCTAGTATATTTGGGTAAACGAATATCCACTTTACGCTTAAAAACTGCCTTAAGAACCGATGAAAGGGTGCGTCTCATGAACGAAATTATATGTGGCATTCAAGTAATTAAAATGTATGCCTGGGAAATTCCCTTTGCCACCTTAGTGAGTTTAGCAAGAAGGTGGGAAGATTTGGTACCCCTCAATGTAATGATCACTAATCCCATTTGTTTTAGGTATGAAATCAAGGCCATTAGTAAATCGTCGTTAATGCGCGGCATTTATCTGGGATTTATAATGTACAGCACCAGAATGGCAATATTTGCGAGTATATTAGCCTACGTTCTCTTCGGGAACTATATAACTGCCGAAAAAGTATTCGTCCTTACTTCATTTTATAACATTTTACGTCAGACTATGACTGTTTTTTTCCCACAAGGTATATCGCAGGTGAGGCGCTTTTCACATTGAGGATACCATGTATGTATACATTTCGCAATCTTTAAAGGTTGCCGAAGCAGCAGTTTCTATTCGGCGTCTCAACAAATTTATGCTTTACGAAGAGACCGAAATTGCGAAAGCAATAAGGTCAGCGGAAATTGCCAAGAACGAAAAAGACGAGAAATACAAGTTCAACGGAGATTTTAGAAGGAGTCATGAATTAGGTAAAACCTATTATTAAAGGAAAATCCGATTAATTAAGAGCGAGTCGGTGCTAAGCAAAAACATTGTTCAAATATCACGTACGCAAACTATTTCTACATTTCTTTGAAACTGTGAGGAACAGACCTATGACTGAGATAGAGAAATAAATAATTTGTATGCCAGATATTGTGTCCCTGTGATGCAGGCTAGACGTATAGACAATATTCAAAATGAAAGAACTTTTTAAATATAACAGATATTCTGAAGTTCAGCATTTCAACTATTTGGTTAAAGTACATAGTTTTAATACGTTAATGCAGAACATTCTTTAATCAATCAGTTTTACCAAAAAGTTATTGCAATATCGTTTTTTTGTAAAATTTGTGCAATAACGTGACATTAAAAACATTTTTTTCTTAGCATTTACCATAACAGCACAATACCAAACTAACAAAGGTCATAGCTCAGTAACATGAACGGAGGAGTTGCCGTGTCGCTCTAAAATATGAAGCTTATTATTGTAACTTTAAATTCTACCCAAAAAATAAATCCGATTTTTATTAATTTTTTTCCCATGTCTTGTCTCCCTCTTCTAAATCATGAAGAAATCTTAATATTAATTTCGTTTTTTTTTTAAATTGAATTTAATCATTATTAATCTCGACAATCCTATTTTCGTAAAGCATACAGAATGCCTCAACAATCAGGTATGTATAAAAATTCTTGAAACACCATTTAGTGAGTTCTTTGATTTTCAAAATATTTGAATGAAATTAATACTTGTTATACAGCAACAGGGAAAATCACGCTTTTTCAGTAATAAAAAAAATTACTCTAACCATCCTACGAGCTCAAGTTAATATTTGAAAAATATTGATAATAAGAAAATAATTGCATAAAATCTAAAATTTATTTCAAATCATTTGCGCGCAATTTAAACTTTAATTCAAAGTCAAAAAATTCAATGTTTGTTGAGATCGTGCTCTCCAAAAATCTAATCTTTGAATTGGTCATTCTGACTTTAGGAATTTCCTTGAAAAACGCAACTGCCAGGTGGTCAGAATCATCTCTAGATAACACCTTAACTAATATAACTCTCCAAGTAACTCCTGGTAGGCTATTGGCAGTTATCGGTCCCGTCGGTGCAGGAAAATCATCGCTGTTACACGCAATCTTGCAAGAACTTCCTCTCACTTGTGGCTCCTTGGAGGTTAATGGAGAAATTAGCTACGCCTCCCAAGAGCCATGGCTCTTTGCGGGTGAGATTCTAAACCAAGGTAATTTTGTGTTGTACTTGACGTTAATCGTCTAGGGTCCGTGAGACAAAATATACTCTTTGGACTCCCGATGGACAAAGACCGTTACAGGACAGTCGTCCAAAAATGTGCCTTAGAAAGGGATTTCCAATTGTTGCCCTATGGAGACAAAACGATAGTTGGAGATAGAGGAGTTTCGTTAAGTGGTGGCCAAAGAGCACGAATTAACCTTGCTAGAGCTGTGGGTACATAATTATCTTATCATATCTATATCTGTAGGCTCTTTATTGTAGGTATACAAAGAAGCAGATATTTACCTCTTGGACGATCCCCTATCTGCAGTTGATACTCACGTTGGCAAAGAATTATTTGAACAATGTATAGCAGGATTTCTTAGAAATAATACAGTAGTGCTTGTTACTCATCAGCTTCAGTATTTAAAAGAGGTAGCTGGAATTGTAAACGCATTTTTGTTTAAACATACATCCCTTCTTTCTATTTAAGGTAGATCATATTCTATTCTTAGAGAATGGTATTTGTAAGATTGAAGGTTCCTACAGAGATCTTCAGAAGAGTGGTTTGGACTTTACAAATTTACTTTCTGATGCCGCGAATCAGGAAGAGGAAATGGATAATATCGAGAATGATTATGTTAGGAAGAGTTCCATTAAAAGCATATCGTCCGTAGAAGTGGAAGCTCCAAGAGTTGTAAATATCATAATTATAACTGGAAGTTTTTTAACTTATTGAAATCAATTTGGTAGGTGGAAGAACAAAAGGGTACCGGTTCTGTGGGAGGATATGTCTACAAGGCATATTTCAAAGCTGGTGGAAATTTCTGTACAATATTTATCATGTTTGTTTTATTTGTGGTTGCTCAGCTGTTTGGTAGTGCCTCAGACTATTTCCTTACGTATTGGTAACACAGCACAGATTTTCTTCTATAGCAGAGGTTAACAAATTGATTTTTAGGGTCAACTTGGAACAACAGGACTTCTTAGCAAAAAACTTGTCGAAACCGATTTTTAATTTGACAAGTAAACTTCACAATGATACTTATACCGAGGGTGAAATCGTTAAGAAAGATTCTACATCATACAGCGATATTGTTACAGACTTTTGGCACTTTTCGAGAGAAACTTCTATTTACATATACACAGGCATAATAATCCTTTTGGTGATATTCACTTTGGTACGGTCTTGTGTGTTCTTCGCGGTGTGTATGAAAGCATCAACCAATCTTCACGACAATATGTTCTCAAGTATCACCCGAGCTACTATGAGGTTTTTCAATACCAACAGTGGCGGCAGGATATTAAACAGGTTCTCCAAGGTAATAAACTAAAATTGAAGAAGCAAATGTTGAAATTCTTATTATAACCAGGACATGGGCGCAATTGACGAATTGCTGCCTTCTGCAATGGTCGACGTGTTACAAATTGGTTTAACATTGGTAGGGATTATCGTTGTAGTGGCGATCGTGAGTCCATATTTGCTTATTCCTACTGTCGCTGTCGGAGTAATATTTTACTTTATGCGGATCTTTTATTTGAGAACCAGTAGAAATATTAAGCGATTGGAAGGAGTCAGTGAGTGGAAATTACCTCTGCCGATTCCGGAAGTTAGCCGATTTTTTTTTTAGCAAAGAGTCCAGTGTTTTCCCATCTAAACGCAACGCTGCAGGGATTAACCACAATACGGGCATTCGGCGCCCAAGAAATATTAATCAGGGAATTCGATAATCACCAAGACCTTCACAGTTCCGCTTGGTACTCTTTTATCTCTACATCGAGGGCTTTTGGTTATTGGTTGGATCTCGTTTGTATATTGTACATTGCAATGGTTACATTCAGCTTTTTAGTGATCGGGAACGGTACGTGAAATTTCTTGACGTTATTAAAATGTTCTAAACCTTTGGTTGGTTATGAAATTTACTAAAATATATCTACCAAAATGACAATTACACTTTATGGTTTGGCGTAAAATTTTAAACTAACCAAATATTAATCACGAGTTTTTTTATGACCAGTGTTAGGCACTTTGATTTTTATTAATTTTTTTTAATTAATTTCATAAGAATATGTATTTTCCGCTTCCTTTGTAGCAATTACAATATATTTTAAAGCCACTATAAACAATATAGTACAATATACACATTTGTATTCGTCAGAACGCGGTTTTTGCAAGAAAATTTCTGTCGCGACCATTTTTTTCCCGATGTTTAAATTGGTCGAATACGTCTCGCGTATTTAGTTAGTGATTTGTCGAAGGAATGGGGGTCATAGTTTAGGTGAAAACATTTAAATGTCTAGAATTAAAGGAAATAGCATATGATAGTTTTACATTAAAACAACAGTTCTAAAATAAATCTGGATGTAGAGCGATTTGTAAAATCTGCAAGAAATTCAAGGGATACTGCAAAGTGGTATTGATATTTGTAATAATAATCAAGAAACGAATACAGGTAGGTAAATAATATTGTTTTATTATTACTTGTTACTTGTTTATTTAACTTTCCATCTCGTAAAAGGTAGAAGTATGGTGTTCACAAAAACTTTTTCAAAAGAAGGCATTTATCGTTTAAAAAATGTCATTTCCTTTTTGTCTTTTCTTGCCAAATTTAAATTCATGCCTGCATTTTATTTATGTTAATGTTTATAATTTTTAGGTACTTACTTAGTTTTATTTTTTACGATGCATAAAAAAAATATTTCGTAATCATATCTTATAATTTCTCTATCTTAGAAAAGAATATACACGATGTTCAACGTATTAAAAAAAAAGTTAACCTTATAAATTTAATGAAATCCAATAAACCTTTTACTAATTTTTTAAAGAAAATTTGGGTACGTATTTGGTGTATCATTTAATGATATATATTTAAAAATTATGTTTTTAATGTTTCTATTTTGTCTTTAGCCACTTTCTTTTCACTCACTACAGATTTGTCAAGTCTTTGGAAATCCCAGCAAAGTCCAAACAATGAAAAAGAAACGAAAATCAGCCTAATTTGAGTAGTTTCGTAATGCGAACATCAACAGCTGAAAAAGAGAGATTGACAAACAAATACCAAAGGCAATTTTTGCTACTAATTCGAGTTTTCGATGCATTGAAAACTCTGAATTAAAAGAAGCTCACTTATTAAGACCTGATTATACTCCGCCATCAAGAAAAACATATCAACTTGCCTTTTAGATGACATATATGAGCAGGAAAGGGCAAAATGTTTTTCTTCTCTGTCAGGACAATGTGCGAATCCATTGGCGTATGGTCACAATGAGTCATTTATATGTGCTACAATAACAGCTGAAGATGGACGAGCGCTTCTTTATGAAACTATTTATGCTTCGAAAAAACCCCATACTTCACAATATTTGACTGAAGTAGTTTGTGGCCTAATATATTATTAAAAATCTATGAAGAAAACAAAAACTAAATTGATTCGGTCATTTACTAAAAGGTGTGGGCACAAGAGTATTTAAGTATTTTAAAACCACTATCAGTTGTTGTTGATATTTTGCAGAGAAAAAAAGTTACTACTTCAGATGCTATAGAAAAAAAAAGTAGAAAAAAATCAGGATTAATATAAGCAGGCACTCACGCCATATCATTTTATATATGTCTATATGTTGAACCCCCAAAAGCAAAAATATACGTTAACACCAGAAAAAAAGATTCTGACTTTAGAAACAATTAATAATTTTTATAGAAACACTGGATTTTTGCCATTTGTTCAAGTTGAATGTCCGCAGTTGCCAATTTAAAAAATAATAAAGTAATAAAAAACGTAAAAGGAACACAATGGTGGACATCACAAAAGGATGCGCCAGAAATTGCGAAACAGTTACCAATAAGAAAACAGTTTCAGTATGCAACTGCTTCCTTAGCGTCAGTAGAACGAACTTTAAGCACTTTTGATTTTGTACAGAAGGAACAGGATGGGGATAGGAAAAGGGGGAAAATTAGTATTGTTGTCTAAACTATACCAAGAAAATGCAGAATCATAAAGTGTGTATTACATATTGTTATTCGTCATATTTTTAAAAAGTGTTTTACTTTTTATTTGTGATTATATTCTTACGTTGCTTTTTGTGTTGGTCTCAAAAAAAGATTTAATAAAATAGGAGTTTGATTTAAATCATGATTTTAATCGGGATTTAAATCACTTGATTAAAATCAGCCCAACCCTGTTCGTAATTAAAATGCAATTGATTATATGTTTTGCATAATAACAATAATTCAAGTTATTTTAGCCGCGCACTTTTTAGATGCGTCTATCGTTCTTAATTTTTGCGAGCGATATTTAGTTACTATTTCTTGTAATTTTTGATTGCTTTTAAAAACATGGTTATCTTACAAAGCTGAAAATTCTATAAAAAAGTTAATTCAAATAAAAAATAATCAATCAATAACGTCATTTTCAGAAAAATTTGGTGGAAACGTGGGTCTGGCCATAACACAAGCTATCGGTTTAACGGGCATGTTCCAGTGGGGCATGCGTCAATCAGCCGAGCTTGAAAACCAGATGACCTCAGTTGAAAGAGTCGTGGAATATACCGATGTTGAACACGAACCTGACCTAGAATCATCCCCTGACCGTAAACCACCATCTTCGTGGCCCAGGGATGGGCGGATTGAGTTTAAGCACGTCTATTTAAGGTAATATGAATAATATTCTCAATATTTTTAGTTTCTAAGCTTATGTTTTAGGTATTTTCCTAACGATCCGCCCGTTTTGAAGAATTTGAACTTTACAATCCAGCCGAAGGAGAAAGTCGGAATTGTCGGTAGAACCGGAGCAGGAAAATCGTCTCTTATAAACGCTATATTTCAATTAACGGAAACCAGCGGATTGATTTTAATTGATGACGTTGATATCGCGTCGATTGGTATTGCCTATTTCCGAAATTGTCAACATAATACTACAGCGCAACATTTTTAGGACTTCACGATCTCCGTTCCAAAGTTTCTATTATCCCTCAAGAACCAGTTCTTTTTTCTGGAACAATGAGGAAAAATTTGGATCCTTTTAACGAATACACCGACGAAGAGTTATGGCGAGCTTTAGAGGCTGTTGAGTTAAAAGAAGTCGTTCAAGATCTGATGTCGGGATTGAATTCGAAAATGTCGGAAGGCGGTTCAAATTTTAGTGTTGGACAAAGACAGTTAGTGTGCTTAGCTAGAGCCATCCTGCGCAACAACAAAATACTCGTGCTCGATGAAGCGACCGCCAATGTGGATCCACAAACAGATGCGCTCATTCAGCAGACGATCAGAAGAAAATTCAACGACTGCACGGTACTTACAATTGCCCATCGGTAATATTTTCGTTAGGTACTGGTTAAGTTTTGTTAACGGCTCTTTTTTTCTAGGCTGCATACTGTAATGGATTCCGATAAAGTTTTGGTTATGGATGCGGGCACAATGAAAGAGTTCGATCATCCTTTCAATTTACTCCAAAATAAAAATGGTGTCCTCTACAGCATGGTCCAAAAAACAGGGAAAGGCATGTCAGAAGCATTGTTTGAGGTTGCCAAAGAGAGTTTCGATAAACTTCACGTAATTCAGCGCAGATCTCTGATCTCCTAAGTTTGCCAAAATTTTCGTGGCCATTTATTTATTGCTGTTTATTCGAATTTAGTCGGACGTTTGTTTTATTTTATGATGTTTAATTTTTAGGTTTTCTGAACTCTCAGTTTACATCATGTCAACATTTTATTTATTCACATCTACACATTGTGGGTGTAAATATTAACATAAAACTGTTATAAAGTTTTTTTTAATATATCATATTCTTGTTAGTAAAATTATGATTTTTATTGAAATGACCTTATAATATGCCTTCGTCATAGTGTTAGATGTAGATGGCGTTACTTGTCATATGTCATACAACTTTTAGGTGTGGCCAATGAGGTTTTGAATGTAAGGAAGGACAACAGCGTCAAGTGTGGGGTTTCTTTCAGACTCATTGTCTTCTGAAGATTGCGGTAAAGTGTACTATATGATGGAACGCTTAAAATCTATAATGTGAAAATTATTATATAGAAGAGCAGGTGTAAGGTGTTTTAATTCTGTGTTCCCTGACTCGAGCTCAGATAAACAAGAAAATTGATAACTGATGATTTTTGGACCGGATGGTGATGTGACAATTTATCGGTCTGTGTGAGTAGGTTTTCTGTTAGGACTGATTTTCAATCAAACAGTTATCAGTTCTTGCAAAAGTTTCGAACTTAGTCCTGGTCCCACATATTATCGCACAAATGCAAATTCTAGAACGGATAATTATAACCTATGTAATATTAAGTGAGTGATATAGCTATTATTTTATCCATTATTGGTTGGTATTATTATGTTCTTGGTTTCTACTTGCTCCACCTTCATATTTATTCTCATATCAGATGGCAATTCTAAAATACTGTTCAATTCTACCCAACAAGCCGTCATTGTGTTCTTGGTATAAGTTTTGGTAAGACTGTAATGGAAAGAATTTTCCATCATCGTTGCCTAACTTCTTGACGATTTTATGATAATAACACAGTAACCAGCACACTACTTTGGTACATATTAAAATTTAACTTTCAAAGGAAAAAATACCATTTACAAATATCACAATGGCGTAACATCAAGACACGAACCTCAAACGCTTTGAAAATATATTTGATTGCGTTCTATGCTTTTAGGAATGAAAAATATCAGAGTAGGCCTTTTGATATGTCTGCTGTTAATGTAGTGTTAATTTCGCCCGTTGAGTGTACTTTTCTCATTGCATCCTAATTTGTAATGTAGGTAAGCGATTCTTATTTATGTCCAGAATTTAGTTATTACGTTTTTATTTATTTAGTAAAAAATGTATTTTAATGCTTCGGTAATTACAAATGACGAAATAATCTGTAGGATAGTTGTCTCAATTGCAACTAACTAAATAGAAACTCCGCGAATACACTCAATTAGTTGTAAAAAAACCTGTTATAACGGAATTATATCGATTTCTCAATATAAAATAATTTATTCTGAAATAACTACACATGTTATATTCGACTTATGAAGCAAAATTTTAAACTATAGTTAAGTATCGCGGCCTCTTTTAACTAATTTTGTGTGCGATTTTATTTTTCATTGAATTGTGATTTTTGGCAACAGAGTGGCAGTTCTATGCAGAGCGACTCAAATATTGCAATGCCACATTTTTTGCATCGTGTTATTCCTAATGTTAGATGCCTCCATTTTTCATAACAAGATCCTATATCTCTCTTTTACAATTTTCTAAGAGATGACAGATACTAACAAACATTATTAAAAAGCGCGCCATCTACGATTGTCATATAAAACAAGAAAGTTGTATTTTTAATGGAAAACGGCGAATTCTATTAAATAATGTTTTTATCTGATCCAGAAATTTTCATAAAATGTTATCCGCTTTTTTCAGAATTGGTGAAAATCGGTTGATAGTGAGAATGAGGTTTTCACCATTAAATATTTCTCAAAAATCGAGCTGAAGACATTGTGAGTGGATTTTGCTCTATTAAGAAATGGAGGTTTTCTGTTAATTTCTCGATATTCAGGCGCCATTCAATTTTGCAAATAGTGAAGTTTGTTTTCAAGATATGGAAACATATTCAGGGTGTTATTGTCGAAAGACAAATGGAAAAAAAATTAGGCTGCTACCTGGCATTAGGAAAACAATGCTCCAAAAATTTCGTACAAAATGGTTGTCGCGCCAAAAACTGTTTCGGTGGACTTATTAATTTGTCTACTAACACTATAAAGGGTTCTTGATAATTCTTTTAACACAAACACTGCTAATTTCATAAATTTAAACCCTAAAAAACATTTTTTCAATTTTGCACCTACTCTTACTGCAATCCTTTCTAAATGGATTCTAGATGGCGCGGCACGTATCGCTCTAAACAATAAAATTAAACTGGACTGGGGTGTAAATTCACTAATTAGATTCTATGATGTCAGTATACCATATATTGTATACAATTTGGGCAAAGGAATAAAACTGTTCGTTTGAATTATTTTTATTGGGAATTGTATTTGAATAACTATGGATATAATAATAATGACGCAAAAAATAGGAAACCGACTCCTATTAAAGAAAAGTGGCATTTGGACATTTCCAGTTTTTGTTTTTTTTTTATGTCGGATTGCATATTGTTTAACACGAAATGTGCAGAATGTTAGAATATTCGAAATTGTTTTGACATAAACCAAGCAAAAGTATCAATATTTTGTTTATTTGAAGGTCAACCAGTAAAGATATTGACCAAAACTAGCGTTTCAAACTTTCGTCATTTAAATGTTACAAAACTGAAAGTCGAATTACTAGTATTGACCGCCTTCATTATATTATCATAAGATTCTTTTTAATGCTAAAAATAATTTGTTACACCTATATACACTTTGAGCCTAAAAATTGGGAACAATGTTCAATATTGAGGATTTATATACTACCAGACCTACAAAACTTTCCTGAACATCCAGCCGGGAAAGTAAATGTGTAAAACTAACATGGATTAATAATTCTGGCAATTTATAGGCTCATTAAATAAAAACAATTTATTGATACCTGTCAACAACATAGCAACAAATAGTTAATATATTTTATATTGGCAAATTTTTTTTTCCATATATATCAATCGATTATCCACTAAAAAATACTCTTAGAAAATAACAAAAAAAATGTACAAACCTTACCTGAATACGATATTTCAAATATGTTAAGCAATACATACATTAGTTCTTGTATGTCTTAAATTACTTGGTCTCACTGGTTAAGGGTTTAAAGTGTAACTAACATCGCTATGTTTGTTTAGGCAAAACCGCGAATTTGCAATAGAATGAGATAACATTTTCGATGATCTCTGGGCTCTTGCTTTAGTACAGATTGGCCCTTTTTCAAACAATCTGACTTACATTGAAATTGTTTATAGTTAGAAGCAGTCGGGGAAAATGTTGGGCAATGAATATGACTAGAGCTGATAAAAGCTCGTTGCTAATTTTTGAGCTAAGTTTGAGCTAAAATGCGACCAATTTACACTTACTATTCAAAGTAATTTATACCTAAATGTGGCGACATAAATGAGTTTGGCAACTTTAATACCGACGGTGGTACAAATGCTTATGTTTATAATTAGTAATTTCAGGTTTGGGAATTATGTGGCAGTATGACGTTTTATGTGACACAAATTGTGTTGTAGGACAAATCTAATTGTTTCTTTTGGACTAGATCAAAATTATTATTTTATGAGTAACGAAGCCTGAAGGGAACAGTTACCTCACGCAAAGCAACATTTTGTGAAACGTATTTAGTATTAAAATTCTTCTTTGGTTAGGCGGTATTGGTTAGGGATCAGGTATACGTTACGTAGGTATTTCTACGGGTAGCAAAAATGGAGTTTTAAAAGGATCTAAAGAATATGAAAAGTTGAAATAAAATTTTAGAGCGTTGCTTTAGGTGCGATATTTTTGGGAGATAATTCTGATAAATAGATTTTGCTTCTTTTAAACATAAGTATTCGTCTGTTGTAATTGGTCGTGAAAAATTTACAGTAAATTAGTTGCAGTAAAAATTAGATTGTTCTATTAACTAAAACGAAGAGCGAGTAAGTAGTATCAATTTTTTGACTCAACCCTCTCGTTTAATACTTGGCACACTTGGTCCCACGCATGCGCCGTTTTAGTATAAGACATGTTAAATATTTGATATAGCACATTGCCGTGGCAACTAATTAAATATTGTCGCTTATACAGGGTGGGAACCAACAAAGGGAGGAGGTTTCTGAACCAAGATATAGTGGACTGCTAGAGGGAACATTCAAAATTCATTAAGGGAGCCAAGGTAGGAGGAACAAATTGTAAGAATTCGGGAAAAAAATGTGGACATTATGACATAATAAATATAAATGCAATACAATGCAATTTCAATCCCTTCTGTAGGTAAAGTGCTTTCACAGATAAACCGATAAGAAAAAACCCTCCTGAGAATAGTTACCTTGATGACCAAAGAATGACCTTAGGCGTGGCAATAGCAACTTCACAAATTTTTCTATCAATTTTTCTTAGACGACGTCTCAATACAGGATTTTTCGTAAACTCCGACAACTAATAAATCGCCCTGCAAATTGCGCATCGAACTTATTTTTTATTAATGGTTTACCGATGATAAGGTTACTAAAAATTCGAGGTAAGAAGATCGAATGATCTTTTGACCGTCCAAGCAATCCCCCCTTGAAAACGCAGTAAATTTGTCCATTTTTAATATTTTTTTATTCTGCCATCGTTTAAGTGCAACATATCCCAGTTTTTTAAATTCCTGATTTCCTATTATTTTATTATTAATTTAACGCCATTTCATAAGAAGTGTGTTCTCCAAGATCTACTGCTAAAATACGAGAAGGTGTCATAAATATGTGAAATTTAACCAAACATAAGAGAACCTGGAAAATTTGACATGGAAAACTTGCATTCTGTCAAAATGTGAGCCAAAAACGTCCATCGGAAGTGCTTAATACTTTTCAGCTTTTTATCAGCTTCCTAGAATATGTTGTGGGAGTGACCTTTAAGCAAATAAGTTTTGGTTAGTTTTTTCAGAAGAAATGCAGATTGCGTTTTCAGGTACAGCCTTTTTTCGGATTCTTGATTCATCCACCATGTATAAAACCACAATAATAATTGTAAAATTATTAGTTACGTTCACAAATGACTAAAACGGTGCACGGGCGAAAATGATGAAGTTCATGATGTCTTCCATATTATTTGTATTATCTAATAGGGTTTCATAATTTCTGAAAGTAAATCATGGATAACTACATAAACGTAGAAAACTTTTTTCAGTAAATTGGAAGGCGGGTTGCATAAAGTTAAAAATTACTGAGAATAATACTGAATTTAGGCCAACGCGGGATTGTTTTTTATAGGATTTTGTTGGAAAAGGTTTTTTTCACATATGGTTTAACATGATTTTTTTTTCATTATTTACAATACCGCGCATCATCGAACTACACAACATCATGTACATGTATCATGTTGCAAATAAAAATTGCCCATTATCGAGGACATATCAAAAACAAATAGCACCTATTGTATACATAACTGCGGACTTAAGAAAATTCAATATTTACGGTGATAAGGGAAAAGTAATTGTGCACAAATTCTTGATAAAATAATGCCTATATTACAGTCAAACATTTTATCCCCAGGCAGCGTCGACAAAAAGTAATAGTAGCAGTAATGACAGTTCGATTTTCATAAGAAAATTTATGTTCCGTGCTAGCAAAAATGGTCCAACTTCAGGGTATTACCTCACTTCTGCTGACCGTTGTCTGAAAGTGCAGCCTCCGCAGGTTTTATTGAAAAAAACAACTAATTAAAATTTCAGCTGTGCAGACATCTATTTAGTGATGAAAGCTTGAGGAGTTAAGGGAGGGATAGTCCACGAGGTTTTATGTTGAGGGATGAACACCTCGCTAGCTACAAATGTGAAGGAATTTCTCATAGCGGTGCAGAAATTTCACAGTCTAAAATTTTATTTGAAAACAATAACTAGTGTAGGTATCAGAATTTGGTACTTTTAGCACTTTTTGCTTTTTCTAATACAATTTATTGCGACAACTTAGATAAAATATTTCTTATTTTAATAACTAAAAAACAATCAACGACTGTTTTCTAGATACTTCATTATTTGGAAATTATTCAAAATTGTCTATACCAATCTAATTTGTTTCAAAAATATTAAATATGAGTTGCTATCTTGACTAGCCAAACTAGGCACAAAAATAAATACATCTCTAGCCGATGGCGATGGATAACATCAAGAATTCAAATTTTGGGTTAACTTGAATATCAATTTCTGAATACCAATAATAACTCATAATGCTTTTGTCTTTTTCGTATTCATTTGATAAGAATTTTTCACTTATGTGCCGTTGCTACCTGGGTAGATGTTTCGGGAGATTTGGAACTATTGCAAAAAAATAACCAAAAGCAACATCTCTTAAGTCCTCAAACATCGCTTAGAGCAAAAACATGTTGAACTTGGTAACGAACAAGTGGTATTTTCATTTTTTACAATATTTTTCTCTTAAATAAATATCGAAATGAACAAACCGATTATTTCTACGATGTCAGTTCTCTGTTCGCACAACATCCCGCGCCGTTCGAAGTAGAAATACAAAAGCTTCACTTTATTAATGCAATTATTAAAATAGTATTTCAATGTTCATTCATGTAATTGTTGGCAGTCAATTGTTAAAGTGCAGCTTACACGACGAGATAAGAAAATGTCTTCACAAAAATTCACTAGAGTTGTTCATGATTTGTTCGCGCTTGGGCCGTCACGCGATGAACTGCACCATAAGGGTTTGGTGCGTGCGCAACGCGAGAGGCAGCGCATCCAGCCGTTAAATGATGCTCTCTCTATTCCTTTCGTTTTCCTCTTGCTCTAGCGAGCTGGTTGAACGCGAACCACATATTTGCATTTCGATTTCGGCCAATCTGAAAAAGCGATAATTAGACATTTAAAGAAGGTCAAAGGAGCTGTAAGTTATTGACCATACGCGGCCATCAGTACCTGCTTGTCTAGTATTTTTCAAGATTTAAGGCCCAGAAGTGGTAAATTTATGTCTACTTAATGGAAGGGCATTATGCAGGGCCGCAATATTACGAAACCTGAATGTATTATCATTGCGTTGGAAATTTTCATAAAATGGGACTGTTAAATTTTAGTTTTAAATTTACTAAATAATACACATACATTATATTAAACTTTGATTATTCTTAGACATTTTCTACTTCAATTTCACTATTGCTATATCTATGTACATATATTTGTATGAGTCCTCAACTTTTTCAATTGTTGAATACAAATTTTCCATTTTTCGGCATTTATATATTTAACTTCCGCTTTTTTCAACTGTATCATACTACTGTTTAAAGTAGATTGTACTTTCTCTAACATTTTTGGAATCATCAATCGTACGTCTCCATTCATCTGGGTAAATTAACGTTCGGTTTTCCTATATAACTGTACTTGTCTTTTCAAGATACTCTATTCTTAGTCTTCGCAAGCGCTGTAGCAGTGTGTGTTCTGTATATATTGCGGCGGAGTAAGTCTTTTTGAAAATACAGATACCTTTCAGTGCATCACTGAAAAGTGTAATTTTAGATAAACACTATAATTTTGGTCGCAAAGGCCAAACAAATGCGCTTTTTGGTGGTCATTTTAAAAGACGAGAAAATTTTAATACACACTCTTTCAATGTTCGAGATAAACTGACTGACTGACGATGGAACTGTATAATACGGGGTCATTTAATGTTTTTTCTATTCCTGTTTGTAAAATATCTAATTACAAACCGATCTAACGTGCGGGAAGCGCCACTTTACCATTTCATTTCACAGTACAGTATGCAACACGTTCGGTAAACTTTTTAAGTCACTCGTTTGTTAAACACTCGCTCCGCTCGTGTTAAATAAACCTGTGAGTCAGATACCGTTTGCCGCACTTGTTGCATAATATACCATTTTTCGTCGTCGATTTTTAACATATTTAAGGCATTACCTGTGCTCTAGTTCCCACTGTTGCTGATTGAGCTTTATACTCATCGCAGCGTTTTCGCTTTCCACGGTCTGGAGACGTTCCCTCAGTCGTTTAATTTCACTTTCCAATGCTTCATGGGATCCTAGCAAAGGTGTGGCTACTCCAGATACCAACTGGGTCATACTGTCCCCACAATGCAGCGTACCTAAACAAACAAATATCTTTTTTGATACTTTAAGGTAACTCAAAATATTTAAATAGTTCAAGAAAAGAAAAGCCAACAAGAATTGGAGTCAGTTTGTTTATTAAATATATTAACTAAATTATACCGAACATTTACTTCCTCAGTTAATACACTTTTATAACAATTATATTACTCATACAATAGCTAATTCTTTGCGGAAAAATAATGTTGATACTGTAGAACGATAGTGGATTTGCAAGTTATTGCTATTTGCTGTTTTGTGTTTTTTAACTATATAGTGGTTCAAATATAATTGTTTCTTCTTAAAAATAACACAAACAACAGCGAGACAAAACAAAAGCGAGACGGCGCTTCGGCATAAGTGTTTGATGTGTTGTACAAAAGGAGCAACGCGAGTGTTAAAACTCTTTCTTCAGTGTCCACGTGATTGCAAATGGCGATTTCTTTAAAATTCGTTAGCAGGACAAAAACAGCCAACGGAGGACAATTTAAATTGGTCATTAGTTTTCACGTTGCTGATAGATAAAGGTGCCGACACCTACATTGTTTACCACCCGGTATATGGCTTAATAAAAAAAGTAGTCGCGGGGCGTGACCGTTTTTTGAGAAAATAGCACTTGAAAATTGAAATACTAGAAATCGTTTCTGACAAACATAAAAATAAAATATTATTCATAAAGATGGCAGGGGGACCAATCACAGTTTCTCAGCAATGTGAGTTGTGTATTGAACAGTCTGTTTCACCTTATGCAAATTTTCATAATTTTGCTTTGTTATGTACTAATTAATTTTTCGATTTATATCGAATAACTTTTTGTTTAAGTATACTCCTTTTGTTATTAAAGCTCTTTACGAGCAATATGAACTTTTTTTAACTTTAACTTCTTGTCTTATGAATAAACGCTCACTTCTGGTGATTTAAATGTATACCTTACATTTTGCACTACGTTCCATGAACTCTTAAAGTCATTACAGAAAAAACTAAAACACTTTTATGTCAGGGAATGTTAAAAAACAGTATTTTTTATAAAGTATAGTATGTCTGGGACATGGAAATAGGTTTTTAAGGTCATCAGCCGCGCAATCGAAGGAAAGTAATTGCCAAATAAATTGGTAGGACCAGGCTAAATGCTTACAATACAAGTTTAAGGACATATGAGTATCTCAAGTTTCATCTGTACTGAACTTTCAGGCATATACTCGACATAGAAATATACTCCATGGATTAAATATAATTTTTATAACTAACTGGTATACTATCTTGCAGTACATGTTGACTTTTACAGATGTATGCCACTAACCAGAAAATATCTCTACTTCTCCGTAATGATAAACACTAGGCTTTGGGGTTAAACGATCATCTATTTATTATAAGCTAGAACAAGTTATGATCATCTATCATGAGTCTAACAAAGCGCAGTTATTTTTTATAAGCCCGTAACGGCATCTGATGCAATTGAAAGGCGCCAAAACCTAATGCGTTAATGTCGACCGAATCGAACGTAATTAATCCCAGATCACTGCTTGACTAGTCAAGATAATCGTGGACTCAGGTTATTACATTTCCAAGCTGTAAAGCGAGCAGATATCAATGCACTGGATTAATAACATTAATAACACATATGAATCCCACGCAAACACACTGGGTCAATATTAAATGCGCCTGAGGTGCGTACGAAGCTCTATTGGCAAGTAACACGTTAAGGATTACTTTAGTAAATTTGGAATTATTTGGTAGTATATACATCAACAAATTGAGTCAACCATTTAACTAAAATATATAGAGGCCCTTTTTATGCTGATAATACGGCAACTTTTGAAGCCGCCATGCGCGGTCATTTTAACTTTCGTTTTCAACCAATAGGACCTCTTATTTCAAATACAAGGTGTTGAACAACCAACATGGACGCCGATATTTCGTCAATTCAGAAGTTTGGGTATTAATTTTTTACGGCAGTATTATCTCAAAATATGCCCAGATCCAGTGAAGCAGTTCTGTACGGACATGACTGCTTAGAAATAAAATAACTCAAACTGTAGGTAAAACTTTCTATATGAAATAATTACTTCTTACAAACTGCATTTAACTCTTAGTAATGAATAAGATCGATTTTTAATATTAAAAGGGCAGCATATCGAAGGTTATAGATAGATCCTGGGGATTTTTTAAATGCTCTAGTTTTTCCCAAAAACCTGTCCTGTCCTCCCGATATGTTTTAGGTACCTAAATCAATTTATTTATTTTTATTCATATCACAGATTTGCTTTACGTTTGTGGATATAGCTGTGGTATAAATAATGTGATTTTTTTTTATAGTTGCTTCATAAGTTCCTGTATTATGGACATAGGCAGGGCCTCTATATCTTTAGTTGTATGCGTTTGTGTATGCGATAGAGTATATGATACACACGCTATACATCTCCTTCTATACACTGGCCAAAACTAATTGAAGAAGAAGAAGGGTAAAACTAGAATTTAATTATATTAGTAATTATTGCCATAGGTGGAGGTTTTAGCAGATTCACGTTGTTGATTCGTTGATTTTAAAGTTTAAATTTGTGGTCTTTTTCAATACATGCCCATGGGTAAGCCTATAATTGGTTGCAGTTGCATACAGTGGGTTGTTACACTGGTTTATAGGGTCTAAATAAAAAGTGTACCTATCAATTGACAAAAAAAATATGTGTTTTTCGAGGAAAACTATAAAAAGTGACAAATAACCTTATCTCATTGCCTCACTGTAAAGAACGATGCTTGGGGAGCATGTGATTTGTATTTTGGTTAGGTGCGGCATTGTGGAAAAAAATCGTTTTTAGCACACGTGTCTAATATATTTTTCTCACTTGTTCGTGTGATATATACAGCTTCGCTTGCGTGATCAATTCTTTGCCGCAAAGTTCGGAAGATTCAAAAGTTGTTTGTTGTTTCTAATTTGTACACCCTTTAACATAAATTTTTGCTTATTTTCTTACAATAACTGAAGACATAGGCAGAGCAAATACGGGGCGTCATAATAAACATTATATTTTAATTAAGTTCATTATATTATTATATTTCGAATTGAGGAAAGGTTACAGCTAGAAAAATATTTAAGTTTTCTTTGGTATAATAGTTGTGTCGACTACATACGTGCCCCCATATTTAACGTGGCTTTATCTCTCTAATTAAATGCTTTAATTATTTTTGTGGTTGTCACCGAGTGAACGAGATTAAGAAGATTAAAGATATGCATGTTTTATAATTAAAAATTTCGTCTGCTAACTAATTAAATACAGTTAAATAAGAGTGACACAATTACTTGCTTGATGCTTCGCTATAAAGCTTGTAATTTTCTCATAAAAGTCTAATCGGGCTAAGTACTAGGAGACAGTCAAATATATATGCATTCATTTTGCGCGTATACCTTCAAGGCGCTGCAATAGTGTAACATAGTACTAGATCTCCTTCATTTATCGCAATTTCGAAAAACGGTCATATAAGAAATGTTCCACAACACTCCAAATATTTCCTGAAATCTTGACAACACAATAAGATATATTTTTTGCCTTCAAGAAATGTTTATATCAACCTTTCACTTTTTGAATTTGAAAAAGCGAAGGGCAAGCCGTAGAGGAAACCGTAATTCGCCTCTGGAATCCATTGGAATTCTTCCGGAATTCTTTAGAATTTTTGGTGGAATTCTTCAGAATTCATCCGGAATACGCTACTCCACGACTTCCCCAGGAAAAAAAATTTAGTAGTATATGACAAAAGCAAAATTTAACAGTGCGTAACGAAAAAGCTTCTTAGAAGTATATCACTAATTTTCCATTATATCGTAGCACCAAGTGTCACTAAGTAAAATCAAATGTGAGAGCAGAAAATATTACTCCTACTTACAGGTCAAGCGTAACAAATTCTACTTATTTACGTAATTGTTGATAATCTTTATGTATCTGGTTGTCATCGTATTTAGTAAGACTAAGTAAACATAATATGATATTTAGTTTTTATATTTTTAAAGCTCCTCAAAAAGTCCTTGGTGCTCTGTCCTACAATACCGACTGGTCGGGAATTTTATTATCATCGGCAGGCTCATCGAATTATCGATAATTGGCGTCAAAAGTCAAGACGATAGATTTTGACACACCATTAGTAAATAGCATGTTAATAAATCGATCAGTTAAATTTGAAATATAAATAAATCGCTGTTATTTTACATTGAGGACTCCAAGATAAGTCAGGATATAGGGAATTATTAACAAACGTGATAATTGAGCAAACACGATAAAGGGGTTAGCGTATTCCATTTAAAAACTCAGAGAATCACTAAATTTATTAGTGAGAGTGCACAAAATAATTACTTGTTCGCTTTATTAATTTCTGAATAAAGCATTTGACTGTATTAATGTGTGGAATTAAAAACAGTTTTTTTTACCAATAAGTAAATGTATTTTTTTCGCCTTTATTTAATAACTGTTTCTGAGTAATACAGGAAAAATTCGTGCCACTTGTTTGAATTTGTTTGATTCGATCGAATCAGTTAATTTATTCACTTATTAACCATCAATTATTTTTTTAGCAAAATTAAGAAATGCAGTACTTTTTTCTAACTAGTAAAATATGATGATTTAGATCGGGAGATAATAAATAATAATAAAAAAATAAATAAAGCATATATCTTTTTCAAAATACTTCTCCATGCACTTAATTGTAAGTATAATTGTTCAATCTTTAAAGCATTTTGGCTATAACAGTAAATAATGACAAGCAATAATTCGATACTAAATTCAAATGTTCTGTCGCAGCAACTTTGGGTTAGCCAACGCTTCAATTATATAGGGAGTTGATTTGACTTGAGTGACTCTGAGTGAACATTTCCCTCCGATGGTGAAACTTTGTCTGTTATAGCGACAACATTTTGTTCGAGTTATGCATCAATAACTTACATAAAGCGCAGGGTAAGCGCGGCTCAGGTTGCACATTTATTGATGTAACTTTTTTCTTGGTATTTCGTCTTCCGCCAATCTCCATAATCCTGCATATGAGCAAAGTAAGCTCCGTGGTTTGTGGCGCAAGTTACGTTTAGGCATAATTAAGAATTTTTAATGCTTATGCATTAATGGTGCTTTTTTTACTTCGAGACAAAAATTTCATGAATCTTTGTCATCATGGCAATAAAAAGTATACTATAATTCTTTTAACCTTTTAATCCCTCATTATAATTAAGCCCCAAGTATCAATGTTACATAAAATTAATTGTAGGTTTTATCAAGAAATGAAAATATGCGTGTGCCCAGAAAGATGCGTAATATAAGGCAGGAAAATGTCTGCAACATCTACCTATTTCATTTGTTTTGATGGCAGCGGCAACACATCAGTTTTGAAAGTTTTTTTTTTAACTTAAATGAACGGCTTCAATATATTAAAACAATGGCAAACGAGTGTGCGAAGAACAGGAAAAATTGGAAATCTTTTCACCGGTAACTAAACAAATTTTGGTGGTTTTTGAAAAATTCGAAAAACAGCAGCAGTGATTTTGGATTGGCGTTGCTCTTACTACTACCAGTTTAGGAATATATAACTTAAAGTTAATAATATTGTGTATTATATGTTTATGTCCCTTTATTATTTTTGTTGATATTTGTTGTTTATTATTTAGTTAGCTATAAGCTTTAGCTTTAGAATTTTTATTTATTTAACTAAATACATATTTTTAAATTTTAACGCTTTAATTTAAATACGTTATACGCCGCCATTCAATTAAAATTCAGAGAAAAATCGAAACTTTTTAACTTGACACCGTGTACTAACCAACTATAATCCAAAAGTGGCAAAAATTTTTAAAAGGAACATTCTTTAGTTGCTCAAATAGAAAATGGTGTTTCAATGGGAGCACTTTATATATATATATATATATATATATATATATATATATATATATATATATATATATATATATATATATATATATATATATATATATATATATATATATATTCGATTTGTATTTAAGAAATTAACCCAAGTTTGTTCAAGATACTTCTAATAGGTTATCCGCTGTGGGCTCTGCGGTATTCAAACAGCGAATAAAGTACTAGAGTCTGTTCTCGCTTAAAGGAGACAAAACTCGGCATATATGTCAAGAAATAAGGTACTGCATAGCTCCAAGCAGCTTGCAGACCAGAATGTAAATATTGTTTATTTTGAAAAGGGACCAGGGATTGGCTGCGTTTTAATAATGTAAAGCGTTCCAAAACATTTCCCCAAAATAGATAAATTTCATTCCCAGTAGAATCGCCTTTAATAGCAAATTTTGATATTTTTCAAATAGTGATTACAAACTTAATCGATGTTACGCAAAACATATAAAAGTAATTGAGAATTTTTCATACCTTAACTTGACAACATAATTGGACAGTATGTTAGCTCAGTTTTTGACCAATTTGCTTCGTAGACAATAATAAGGAAAGAGCATATCGGCAGGTGCCATAACGCCAATAGGGAAAAGCTATTTATTTAATTTAAAAACTTTTACTGCAGGTGTTAGCATATTCAGGATTCTTTACATTTCTACAAGGTCTCGTAGTCACATTGTTCTGTTCCAACTTTTTAAAAAAAGCGGGAGATAAATCATTGGTAATGTTATATATACAAGTTTGGAAATGTTAGAGAATCAGTGTTAATAATGTAGCTATGTACATTATTTAAACTTTAGTATTTTGGTTTCTTAATATCAATTATCCACACCTAATTGGAAATTAAAAACATGCTTCCGTTTGTCCCTTTACTATACAGCCACATAAGCTCATCCAGAGACTAGCGACCCTAAATTGGAATTAAGGATGATTAGAGATATTTATTATTGGGAACTCTTGTGCGAGAGGTTTAGTTTTCAGACCCCCGAGGTCTGAGGGAAAATTAATTCCGTGCAGAAAACAAATTTTAAAGCAAAATAATTTAAGAACCAATGTTCAACTATAATAGGTTGTTTTCTAAATTTAACTGATTAAAATTGAACTGAAAGTAATGACTTGTTGAATTACAAGTGACTAAAATAAATCATTACTTTATTTTTTTTATGGGATTGTAAGATGCGATATAACGGAAAATTGTTTTCTTGTGTCATTTTTCTCAACATAATCAGATTATCAGATCAAGAAGTGCTGACATAAGATCATCAGCCATTTAGATTTTTGAAAGATGCGTTTAAGTCCTTCGTACCTTAAAACCACTTTATTTGAATTATATCTCACATCTACATCGGAGTATTTATTGTCCTGTCGTCAGATCTAACTATACACGTGCCCTCACCAAAACAAAACCCCTTGAGCAGAAAGATACCGACAACTACACCATACATCCATGGCATACCATATCAGTGCAGACAATTCTATAATGGAGACAGGCCGCCGTTGACTCACAGAAACTCGCACCAAAAAACATAAGAACAATCCCGGATAGCGCAGCACGTATAGGAAAATCGACATCAAATGGCCGTTGGCAGAAATAATACAGAAAAAACAACATTAACATAACAGAAAGTAAAAGGTAATAAGGAGACCTTTGGCAAGCTGTTAGTTGAACTAAACAGCGTATAGAAACTACTGCTTCACACACTAGTGACCAGCAATGCCCATATGGCTATCAGCTAGTAGGTTTTAGAATTTGTTGTTATTGATTTGATAACCGTTGAAGATACACACCAATCGAAACATTGAGGTATTATTATGTAAAGGCAAAAGTTGCAATAATTACTTTTAATATTCTTCGAAAAAACATTCTAGGTAACTGTCAGCGAAGTATTATCTTTTTATATGCAACAGATCCTAACAACAAATACTGAAAAAAAAACAGTTATTGAGCGAAGAATATTTTTCGTGACTTTACCAGATCGTGCGTGGTGGTGTCTGCTCCTATCGCTACTGGTGGAACCCGCAGGACTATCCGGCGGCATGGGAATCTTAACCAGAGGTGGCGTTGCCGTCGCTGACCTGGGATATAGCGGAGTATGAATTCCAAAGGGAACTGGAGGGACCCACATATCTTCTAACGTAATTTTACCCCGAGACTCGACCAAACCGGGCGTCGAGTGACTTCTTCCCATTGCAGCTGAAACAAATTAGTATAAGAACGATTTGCAGTGTATGAAAATTTTCAAATTGAAGCTGAACACGTGTATCAGCAACAATATTTATCGTAACAATTAACTACAAAAATGATAACTTTAGTTTTAGAATAATGGGCATCTATCCAAAAGAACTTTCAGAAAAATATTTGAAATCTTCCTGTATTCAATTGTTCATATGAACGACGTATCTTCAAAAATATCTCCATCTTGAAAAATTATATTTTAGACAAACTGACATCCAATTTTCCTGCTCGGTAGATACAGGTGATTGATTCCGTCTAAATCAAATTTAAATGGAGAGCAGGAGGATCGAACTCGGCTACGGCGATATCTACCCGATTTACGAATTTTAGTTAAACGCAAACATGACGTGACAGTTTACATATCGCGTTGCAATTGATTTTTATTTTCGAACGTCCCTATGTTTCTGCATATACTAAATTTTCAATATGTAGTGTAAAATAACACATTTTTTTATATATTATAAATTTATAAATATAGTAAATAAAGCATTTTTTAAGAAGACAATGCTGGCTTTACAGTACAGCATGTTCTCGCTAAACTTCTATTTTTTCAATATTTGCTAATGTGCGAAAAATATAGTTGAAAAATATGCGTGATTTGATTTTTGCTGCAAAATTATGATTTGTGATAGACATAATGCCGAAACTATCATTTAACCGCTTAAGTTCATAAGTTAGTCAGTGCTACAGTGTGTCTCAAATATCGGATATCAATTGTTTTTAATTGGCGTAGTGCCAAACATCAAATGTTTCCTCTCAATATAAACAAGTTCTATATCAGTCATATCTTCCGAAATATTGATATTTTTGGTTTTATAAGGTTTGAATGGCGAAATACTGTTCTAATTCATTATTAATAAATTTGTTTTAATAGGAAGTGCTATGGTGTTTTTCAGTCACTATTTAATAATGTGACGACTAAAGGAAATAGGAACATTGTGTTAAATTGCATGTATTGCATATATATATATATATATATATATATATATATATATATATATATATATATATATATATATATATATATATATATATATATATATATATATATATATATATATATATATATATATATATATATATATATATATATATATATATATATATTCTCACGTATTGATTCACGGATGGAAAAATGTGATGACACTATATTCCGGGATATCATCCGTTCGCTCGTTGAACTCCGACTGGAATCCTGCAAATCCTGCATCCGACTGGAATCCTGCAAATCCTGCATCCGACTGGAATCCTGCAGACGTTTCGCCAAAATCTCACTTGGCATCTTCAATGCTCGCGCTCCGAAAACACTTCGAACACTCGAAGTGTTTTCGGAATATAGTGTCATCATATATATATATATATATATATATATATATATATATATATATATATATATATATATATATATATATATATATATGTATATATATATATATATATATATATATATATATATATATATATATATATATATATATATATATATATATATGTATATATATATATATATATATATATATATATATATATATATATATATATATATATATATATATATATATATATATATATATATATATATATATATATATATATATATATATATATATATATATATATATATATATATATATATATATATATATATATATATATATATATATATATATATATATATATATATATATATATATATATATATATATATATATATATATATATATATATATATATATATATATATATATATTCTCACGTATTGATTCACGGATGGAAAAATGTGATGACACTATACTCCGGGATATCATCCAGTGTTCGAAGTGGTTTCGGAGCGCGAGCATTGAAGATGCCAAGTGAGATTTTGGCGAAACGTCTGCAGGATTCCAGTCGGATGCAGGATTTGCAGGATTCCAGTCGGATGCAGGATTCCAGTCGGGTTTCAACGAGCGAACGGATGATATCCCGGAGTATAGTGTCATCATATATATATATATATATATATATATATATATATATATATATATATATATATATATATATATATATATATATTTCTTGATTATTTGAGTCGTTCTAAAGATCGCCGACTTCTGCAGTTTTCCTGTGCTAAACTCCGACATATGTAGTTCTCTTAGGTGTTTCCCTAAGTTAGGTGTTATAGTGCCCATTGTTCCCACCACAATTGGTATGACCTCGAAGGATCTTTTGTGCCATAATTTACTCATCTCAAGTCCCAATTTCTGATACTGAAAAAAATCCTGACAAAAAAGTATCCTGGTACTTTTGAATTTTTTCCGCCTCTTTCTCTGCTATTCTAGCGTCTCCTGGAATCGCGATATCTATTACGTAGATGTGATTTTTTCTCTATTAATACAATGTCAAGGGAGTTATGTTCAATCATTCTATCCGTCTGTATCCGAAAGTCCCATAGAATTTTTCGATTTTCATTTTCTAGTACTTTTATTGGGCTGTGTTTATCCCATTTTTTTTGCCTATTGATGTTTAGATTTTTATGCAGATTCCAATGTATCCTTTTTGCGACGTTGTCATGTCTCAATTTGTATTCAATCTATTCCGTTCATCCTTATCGTTGCACAAGCGACATTTCACGTTTTCCGTTGTACCATGGTTTGTTGTAAAGGCTTGTTCTTGTACCGCGAATATGATTGCCTCTACATCTACTCTTGTTGACCCCATTGACACCCACTGCCACATTCTTTTACTGTCAGCTATTGGCTCGATTGTTTGCAGACGCTTTCCGTATAGGGATTTGTTCCTCGATCTTTCTTCTCTCTCCGCTATTACCTTCTCTGTCAGCACTTTTTCCTCTATTACCTGTTGTAGCAGCTTTTCTTTACTCCGCAGGTTGCGCACTTCTTGTTTTGTCCATACCTTCAAGCTCTTTTTGTGTCCAGTTGATAATTCCCGCTGTGTATCTTATAAGCGGGATTGCTCAGGTGTTAGTGGCCTTTATAACATTTCCACTGTTGAGCTTTGATTGCATTATTTTTCGGACTCTCTTATAATATTCCTTTTCGGATTTGTTCTTCACTTCTTTACGCAAGAAGTCGGCGCCTTCCAGCATACCAAAATATTTATAACTATCGTTTTTCATGAGGCATTTAATTCTATTGCCATCCTCAAATTCGAGCCCTTCTCTTCCGTGATTTACCAGATATTTAAGATGTTTTTTATAGCGCTGACTAACTGTATTAACCGAAAATTCTGTATACACGAAAATAATTTTAGGTTATGCCTAAAAAGCACTTTTAAATTACGAATTGATAAATTAGCTCTTAACTTTTATAATTTCTTCCATAGTTATTTAATTACTTGGGAAATTTATTTCCCCGACCAACGCCAACTTTAGTGTCAGTTCAAAATAATCACAGTTCTTAGTCCTGTCCTGGCTTTGACTGTGAGGAGGCACGCAAATTGACACAGTTAGGCGACCATGATTTACAACTTTAAACCGAGTAAATAATCCATCACCTAATCGGAGTCTTCCATCCGAATGGGCGCCTCTAAACCACTGATGCAGCGCCAACACTACTGCGGGTTTCAATGGAAAATCCCCTTTTCAAGTCGCCGCTGTTGCCAACCGGTCAACACCCGGGTCAGGCATGAAAATGTAAAGGAGATTAAGTCGGAGAAAATTTCGCATAAATGGAACTTTTTTCTGTACCTACCAGAACTTTGAATGGTGCCATTGATATTTGATAATGAAGGTATTGTGAATCGAGGGAGTTGTTTCCATTTAATGAACTTTATTAATTAAATCCACAGACTGATACAACTTCGCGTTTTGCTTGTTTTATGCAAAGAAACGCTCGTCAAACAAAGTACCTAATCCAAACTTCAGTTATCCAAACTTAGTTCCGACTTCCGCGTTTATAAATGTAAAATCTCCTCCCGGGTTTGTAGTAGGGTCAACTCGTAAAACAAATAAAAGTGGCTACGCAATGTTGGCTTTATATTTTCCTAGGAGATGGCTTACTGCAAACTATTTCTTTAATGCCACCGTGAAGGTAATTTGGCATGCTTTTAACTTGAGTTTTCATTAAATATGCAATTTGTTATTCCCAACTTTTGCTTATTTCTTAATCGATAAGTCGTTGAACTATAATTAAGATAATTTTGTTGAGTTTTCTTAATTCTAATCTTGTCTTAGTAAAAATGTTCATATGGTAAACCAAATACGACAAATAAAGCTAAATATAACCCTAGAACCCTCATAAGGGGTGACCACTTTTTCAATAGGATTGTTATGCGTAACTTTTAAACCATTTAAGATACTAGGCCGGTTAAATAGGACCAACTTTGCATATTTAGATTTATAATATCCTGAAGCATTTAAATTAAATTAACAGAAGTGGACTTCATAATATTTTAAGAAATCAAATTCCTGGATTTTAGTATTTTCTTCTGAGCATTTTATGCTTTACAAACAAAAAAGTTATACAAAACTTGTAGTGATCAAAATCGATTTCTTCGGAACTCGGTTCAACTCTGAGAATTTAATTTTGGTAGTTTTAGGGCATTATGCATTTAAATTTATTCCTTCCAACCGACCCTAAATATCAGTGTTTTTAAATATTTGGATCAAATTATTTCAAAAATGGATGGCTTTGGGATATATGGGGTCTATTGCAATTACTTTTTAAAATTACTCTCATATTTTAAAGGTGAACATTTTTTTTGTAATGGAATGACCTACATATTAAAACATTTTTGGAATCTCCTATCATTAATGAGTGAAAATACAAAAAAAATACTTTAAAGGACTCTATCAACAAATCTTTAACATGCCTACTTGCAGTGTCCCTCCTTGTGTGAGTGACATATAATGCATACATCAAATATATTTCATATTACTTTGAAATTGTTAGTGATTCTGAAATGAAATCCAAGTGAAAGTTTAAAGTTTCAATATATTTAATTCAATTCAATTGGTATAAATAACTTCAATTAGGTCGAATAGTTAGGGTAAGGTAATTTGATCATGAGGTAATATAGGTATGGTCTGTTCATAGATATAAGAAATAGATATAAGAAAGTAGATATAAAAAAGATATAAGAGTGGTCATTAACATACAATGGAACAAGATTATTACCTAAAGTTTCGGAATTTAAATTCAGGTAAAATTGTGGTCTGTAATAGAAAATAGTTTTATACCTACCTATGTTTAATATTCTTTGGTTTGGTATACTACTTAGTTTAATTTTATTAGTAATCATTGTTATTTCGTGTGTAATACAACGTGTGTTGAATCGTGTGCGAATTATGCAAAATATGTGCGAGTCTAGTGTATCTCAGGAGATGCTACCGCCCAAATGTAGAAAACATTATTCTATTGAGACTAAGGAAGTTATAAACAATGTTTATTTGACTCTCATTGAACGTGGTGCTAGCAAGCAAGCATATTTAGAAGAAACGGCCACATTGACGAAAATTCCAACATCAACTGTATGGAAAATTGTGAATAATTTCATTTCAGCGAGGAAAAAAAGAAGCGATGCTGACATTTTCTCGAGTGCAGATGAAAGTGAACAAGATATAGTACAGCGTAAAATTTACCAGGTGTACGAGGAACAAAGCGTGCCTACATTAGATATCTTAATTAGGAGGCTTTAAAAAGATGAGACCGGTGTTAAATTTAGCAGAACTACCTTATGGAAGTGTATTCAACACATCGGTTTTAGATTTTAAAAAATTGGCAAAAGGCAAGTTTTAATGGAATCTTTTACAATTCGGAAATGGCGTAGGGAATTTCTAGAAAAAATTAGGATTTACAGAGAACAACAAAGGCCAATTATTTACTTGGATGAAACCTGGTTCGACACTTATGATACCCCGGAAAAGGGTTGGGTTGACTCAACTGATAAGTGTAAAACAAACGCGCCATCAAAAAGAGGTAAAGGAATAATTATTTTGCATGCTGGCTCTAAAGATGGTTTGATTCCAAATGGACTTTCTCTGTCTGCGAAAAATATTAAAGATTCTTCTCTGGATTACCATGAAGACACCACCGCTAATTTATTTGAAAGTTGGTTTAAAAACAAACTAGTTCCAAACATTCCTCCTAATAACGTCATTGTAATGGACAATGCAAGTTATCACTTTAGACAGTTGACTAAAACCCTTTCTCCATGTGACATAAAAGCAACAATCCAAAACTACATGTATAATAACGACATTTATTTTCACGAAGATTATACCAAAAAGCAATTAATTGAGGTTCTACAAAGCTTGAACCTACAAAAGGAATACGTCTGTGATAATTATGGAAAAAATCTAGGGCAAACAGTTTTAAGACTTCCACTTTACCACTGTATATTTAATCTCATTGAACATGTTTGGCACCAACTGAAATCTGCCATTCGTCGTAACAATGTTTTTCCCCTTGTTAACTCCAATATCTTCAAACTTATAGAAACCGAAGTTTTTAACATCCCTCCACGAAGTTGGGCAAATTATGTTAAACATATAGAAAAAGCAGAACAATCGTATATCCATATTGCAAATAATATAGAACAAGTAATAATTAGATAATTAGGCGATGATAGCGATAGTGATACTGATATATTATGTGAACAATTTTAAGTAATTTAAGTAGGTTATAAAATTCATTTGTAATTTTATTTTAGATTTAAACATAAATACATACATAAATAAATAAATATTGTTTAGTATTTTTCCTAACAAAACCCCAAATAATTAAATTCTAAGTACGGACCTGTTCGGCCATATTTCATTCTTTCAGCTTACCAGGGTCTTTCCTTAATTCGTATCGTTAGTCACTTTCTTATATCTATGAACAGACTTTAGAAGGAAAATTTTTGCATCTATTTCCAAACATAATTTAAAAAAATAGTACTAAAAGTATTAGGCAGATATTTCAATAAAGTAAGTCAAGTAATAGAATCTATAATGTTTTCACAAAATTCATATTGAATCCGTCAATAATTTGAAATGCTGTCAGTGTATTGAATGTTCACAAAGTCGATAAATCGATAAAACAAACACTTACCTCTAAAAGATTCTAAACATTTACTTTTTTACTTTAAGTTTAACTTGATGATAATTAAACATCATCGAATGAATTCTCTATCTTTATTTTCGCTAAGTTTGTGTCTTGAAGCCCTGAAGTTAGCAAATATACCATTTTTGGAGCCCAGTGTGTTCTACGCTATTTCGCACCAAATAAATAAATAATACTGCCTGTATGCGGAGCTAATTTTAGAAACGTGTTTACCCGAGATACTCCGTTCCCTCGAGTTTTTCTTTTGGATTTCTTAAGATTAACTTGTTTTTTCAGCAAACAAAAAAGTGAGGGAAAGGCGACTGAAATGTCTTTGTGTTAGAGGGCTTGTTCAATCTACGAAGGCGAAATGATATCGTGATGATTGGTTCGTTTGAGATTTTAGACAATCGGGTCAACAGAAAAGACAAGAGTGGTTTGATATATCAACTAATTTTTGAAGTTTGAAAATTGTATTTCGTGAGAAATTAAGATAATTTTGCAATAGTCGAATAACCAGAAGAAACCAAAGCCATCATACGAGCGGCGAATGTTGGTGATCCAGTTGGCCAATGTAATGTTGGAAACTACTACTTCTCAGATATCAATTGATGAGTGCCTTAGGTCTTTGAGCAATAAATTCTCTCTTCTACCCACAGATCTTTTACGACCTGCATATCGAATTTTTCGTGGCTTAATGAAGCACATCAATTCTTTTGTTCTCTATATGCGTCTAAATTCTTCGGGATTAGTTATTCTCGTTATCCATGTTATACGCAACATTCTTCGATATATATTTCATCTTTTTTTTTCATGGTTAGTTTTGAAGAAAAACAGCTTATCTTGGTCATATTCTAAGCAATAATAAATACGAACTACAACAGACTATCATGCAGGGACGAGTGGATGAACAAGAAAAAAGGCCTAGGAAGAAAGAAGAAATCCTGGATAAGAAACATCAGAGACTGGATTCAGATGAGTGTAGGAGAGCTGTTTTACGTTGCAAGAGACAAAGACGCATTTAGAAAAGTGGTCGGGGATGGGGATAACACTGGAACAAGAAGAAGCACCTATGTATTGCTAGTGCTAAATATTGTCTATATTATTGTTAATTTTAGGCCTTTAGGCGTGTTTTTCCCAGTCCTAGTGACTTGGGTTTTGGAATTATTTATATGCAGACCAAAACTTTCGCTATAAGCAAGTGTCTTGTTTAATATCTGCCAAAACAACAATATCGCCGGCATATCTAGTATTGTTGATTAGTACCCTATTTATCTTGATTCCTCCTGCGATGTCATATAGAGAACAAATGTTAAAAAAGAGCGAGGATAAATGCCTCTTTTTTACACCTATGGATTCCGATGATGCCATTTCCATTTTGACCTCTGCCGATTAGTTTCAGTGGAGTTGTACAGTTGAATGATTAAACATTTTTTTAAATTAAAAATTGCGTTCGCTTGTTAATTTAAAAATTTAATAAATATATAAAAAATAAAATTTCTTAAAATGAAAATATAGAAATGAACTATTATAGTAAGCAGGTAAACCACTAAGGCTAAGGTGTTTACTTTGAAATCTTGTCGAGCAATAGTAATATTGCAAAATTTTTGACACTACGTAAGCCTCATTAATCTAAGTACGTCTTAACTAAATGAAAGATATTATTCTGCTCGAAAATTCATATCCTTCAACACTTATTATAGCAGTTTTCTACTTATTGACGGAACACTGTTGTATAAACTCCGTCAAAGTTCTTCGTTTTTTTTTGAATCGCCCGTTATGTGTCGTCATCAAAGACTTTATCTGATCTTCTTGGACATGTTTTGAGACATCAATTCTAGTCATTATGCAGCAACCTTCAGAATTTTGTTGTATTGTAAAACAAGGATTTAGCATGTCTAAAGCAATCATAGACGTTCCAAGATTTTTCGTTCACTGATAAGGAGAAGTTTTTCATTACAATGACTGTCGATGGGGTACATTCCATTTTGCTAGTATTGTTATTAGGTACTGTTGGGACTATACCTAGATCTAAATACCTAAAATATGATGGCCTAATATATTTGGTTTTATTTTTTCATTTCATCGTTCAAATTTTGATGGAAATTGACCATTTCCAGCTCTTTCTTTCTGACAATAAAATGTGAATACAACTAGAAATAAGTATAACCAGAATAATATGGTAAATTCAACATCGCCGAAGCTTTTCAGTAATATGTATTGAAAATCGCACTTGTCTACAACCCTCAGTCTTTCTTTATGTGGTACTGCAAGCTACTAGCAAAGGAGCAAAAATAAACCGAACGAAACTACAGTTAATTATTGCTCGTTTCGACAGAAATTAGCGGCATTTTTAGTCAGACCGGGTAAGTTTCTTTCCTTTGGTATTTTTAATGGCCAAGTATCGGGACCTTTTCTCGTAAATAATAACAAAATATTTTCTAAGATTAATTTCTAAGTAGGAAAGTATTGGTTAGTTAGGTTGAAAAGTATTATAGTCCACCCTTTAATTGCTAAAATTAAATAAATACAAAGCTAACCAAATACTTGAAGGATGCAGGCAATAAGAGAACAAAGTTCTATTTTAGGAGGTTAATGTATGCGAAATTGATCATTTTGTGATATTTTAGACCCAGTTGTGCTCATTCATAAAAATAATGCAAGTGTTACATCTAATTTATTTACAACACTACGTTTAAATAAAGGAAACGATACCTTTCTCTAGAGGCGCCCTTTTATATTTCTCCAACCTCTTCACAGCTATAGCTTCCAGTCGCACTCTGGCAGCCGGATACTCTTTAAGTACGTCCCACATATCTTTCTTACTCAGCACGAACAAGTCGCTATATCCTACGGAGCGAACACTAGCAGTTCTTCGGTTTCCTAAACAAAAAAGTCATCTAAAAAATACTCAGATTTGTTGAATTTGCGGGTAATTTCATAATATATCAAGGAAGAAGCTGTTGCTCCGTAACGGTGCATTTTTTTTAACGAAGTGCTGTAATTGTAAAAACCAATAAGAGAACATGCTAGAATATTCAATGCAGATTGGGGTAAAGGGACATACGCACTGTAGATAAAAGGATAATATTTAAAAAATCATTCCAGAGCAAAAGGTTGCTTCAATTATTAACTAAGTACGTAGATTTTATTTCATTTACCGTTAACTCGTAAAATCCGTTAATGATCAGGACTAGGGAATTCAAAATAATACATTTTCATAAATATGTCCTCATATAGAGAACAAAAATTCGCCACTCATTAAAGTAAAGTGTTAAAGGCGTGGTCGCGATTTCCCGCTCGAAAAGATATACGTCTGTATTAGGCGAAATCGTCTTGGAATTAAGCCAAATAGATCCGATAGCAGTAAATTCGAGAAGGAAAAAAAATAGATTACGTAGTCACGATTTCGAAATCACACACCGTGAATTTGACCGAACGATCGATTGCAGTTCTGACCGAAACTAATCCACTTAAACACACACCGGTAATGTAAGTTGACACCTTTGAACGTTCAGTGGATTGAACCGAAAAAAGGGGAATTAAATACATTCGAAAATCCAATCATGTGACTTTTTATTTGATGTAATTCCTAACAACTCAATTTGGTGCGGTTTGTTGTGCGTGTTTCGTATTGGTGGGAATTTTGGTTAGTTTGTGGGCTCCTAGCCAATTTTTTTTAAATGAAATTTCTTCTACATTAATGGTTGTTAATGACGCACAAAAATCCTGGAGTAACCAACACCAACGGAAAGAGATAAATTAGTGGAACCGTGTTGGATGCCATATTATTTTGTGCAGTATTTTAGTATTCATTGGACGCCCCGCAAAATAATTATAAGGATATCGTGGGAAGTCATTTATTTTATTCTTTACACTAAAATAATGTTAAACAATGTTTTTTCTTATCAAATTCGGATTTTACAATACTCAACAATAGTTATGGTTTCATAAAGAATTCTCTAAAACTTTACACACCGTGGTCGTCACCAAATACTGTTATAACCTCGGTTATAAATAGTCAGAAGCCCACAATATATCATTAAATTGGTTTTACACGAAGTTATTCAAAACCGCAGAAATCCAATAGGGTTCACATATGATAGCGATTGTTGACTTCAAATAACTTAGAAGTTCATAACCTAAAACAAATTTGGCAATCCTGTAAGCCAATGTTTGATGAACATAAAAAAAATCAACTTTAAGTTAAAGTTAAACTTAGTTCTGACGGTTTCGGAGACGTTAGTTATATCCCATAAAACGGCCAGAAAACGGTACATATTATCTGAATTGAATCTTTGCAGTCACTAGTCTTCACGCTCCTTCTGCTCTAGCCTGTTCAGTTAATACCGCCACATTATTTGTGACAATGAACGTGAAATATGAAATATGTATGTTTCAGCTCCACCCGAATTGCCCACAAATAAAATCAATTTTTTTTTTTGACAACATGAAATCAGCGTCTTTCTCTTTAATTAGACGGATCTCAGCGTATCGTTTTTACAAGCAAGGTCTCCCTCTTATGGAATAAAGTCTTAACTTTCAGAAATTTCAGTTTTTTTGGCCAACGTCTAATTTTTTAAACGGAATATGATTATACTGAATCGTTTCCAGGATCCCTCCAGTTAAATAGAAAGGTAATTATAATGTGAATCATTGCATAGAAGTGATATAATAATATAGATGTCGCCTCCGGATGTTATTTTCTGGAAATGGTTCTTTTTTTTTGACTATTTTGACTTAAAATTTAACAAACAAGAATAAAACAGGGTTTAAGAGTTTGAGCAAATCCTCCCACAGACCAGGCTTTATTAATACTGGGTACGATCAAGTTCAGAAAACGCGGTAGATCATAGGAAAGATTTACGGGTCATACGCCCGGCGTTGAATCAAAATAAAGCGGATAAAGTTAAACAATAAACGCCGAGCTGCTTTGCTGTGAGTCGTTAATAATTAAGGTTTGGACAAATTTTAATCCTCTAAAACCAAGCAGTATTAAAACAACGTTCCGGTTTCACTCTTCTAATCTTTAGTTCCGAATCACCTTTGCACATTGCAAATTGGGCAGAGCTGCCCAAATTCTGTCAAGCAATATTACACAGTTAGAAAAAATTCGAACACGTAAATACCAATGAACAAATTTTCAAGTCCACTAACACTATAAATTCAAGGTGCAAAGTTGGTTTGAAAAAATTAATAATATCTAGAAAATGTTGCATTCCTAATCCTAAGTTAATTAATTACTTTTTCATTAGATATTTGTTATATTAATTAAGAATGAATTAGGTGTCCGTACTATATGCCGACTTAAAGAAAATATTTTTTTTTCATAATAAAAAAAACGTGAAAAAAAAAGGGAATTCTGAACACGAATTACGCAAATTTCTCACTAGTTTTGGTTATTTAGTTTGTTTGATTGTTAGTTTGGCTAATACTGATAAAAAAACAAAAGAATTTTTATGAGTAAGAAGTAATAAAAAATTACTTGATAGGGCGAGGATTTGCAAAACATTGTTCATAGATCCCAAAAAATTCGTTTCAGTGCTATATTAATTTCATTGAGGAAGGTCAGTCATGTGCTCCTGAAACCCGATGCAGGAGGAATCCAGAAGAACCTCAAGTTCGTTCGAAAAATTGAACTTTAAAATATTACCAGCTCATCATTTACAACTTGGTCTAAGGTTTAAACTTGGGTTTAAATTTACTTTTAACAATTTAGTGGAAGTTGCTGTATCAAACAGTTAACTGTTATTTTAAACCGCAAAACACTAACCAAACACAACAACAAAAGAAAAGAAAATACAAAGAGTGCAAATTATTTTTAAAGAGGTTATTAGATATGTACCGTGCGTTCAATTTATCTTGATAACATTTTAGTTGGCTGTAACTTTTTTGTTTTTAGATATATCAAGGTAAACAAAAAAAACAAAATGTAGGGTTAGTAGCCAAGTTTTTTACGAAGTGATGTATAAAACAAAACACTATAAATTTTCTGACATATAAGCTTACATCATATATTTTTAAATGGAACACCCTGTATATTATATATGTGTTTCATAGAATATCTTATTCCGATTACAATGATGTAATACACTTTAGGTTCTAGTCCACTCGTTTTTGACAAATCGGCAAAAATAGGAAATTTTTATATAATTTCGGTACCGTGACTGACTGCAACAACAATAATTATGTACAAATTAAAGTAGAACAAAAACACTAAAAATGACAAGACACACTAAATTAAAAAATTCTTTAAAAATTCTAAATACTGCTGTATGTTATGTTATGTGACCACCATTTTCCTGAACACATATCTCATACATTCTTATTGTACGACGTCTTGCATGAAATTCCACACATGATTTTATATGTGTCTTCAAAATAAAAAATCCATTAAAGTTAAGTCGGGGCTGTTGGTTGGGGATATTCCACGATAACACATTTTTTTAACTTGCACAACATTGTGAGGAGGGGCACCATCTTGCTGCCATATAATCAGCGCTCTTATATGTAGGGGTAAATCTTCTGCATATTGTTCTGCGCTCTAAAAGTTGCAAATAACGATCTCCAGTTAACTTTTGATCTATAAATATAGGACCCAAAATATGCCCATCTACAACACCACATCATACATTAATTGATTGGTATCCCTGGGTTTTTATTTCCTGTATTTGTCTATTTAAAGACCAATTGTAGTGAACGAACTTTCATCAGTCCATAAAATGTTTTAAAAAAAATTATTATTCTCATTATATCTTTTTAAAAAATCCAACCAAAACTGCATCCTCCCTTGACATTGTTCTGCACTTAGTTTTTGAGTTTTACGAAATTTAAATGCATTATATTTATATTCTTTCAAAACTGAGTGGATTGATCATATACTCTAGTAATAGAGGAAACTGGATGTGCTTCATAGATTTCTAATATGTTTGCCTCATTTTCTTCATTTAAAATATTATGATTCTGGCATACCTTTTTAGCATTTAATTCGTTACCGTTTTCTGCAAATTTCTTTGCCAGCCTTAGAAATATCTGTTTTGAAAGGGCTCGGCTCTCTGGATAAAATCTAATATATTGACGACGAGCTGTGGTTGCACTTTTATTATTGAGAAAGTATACTTGAAGCTTATCATTCCTTTCACGGATGCTAAATTCGCGAAAAACCATTTTAACAATAATGATTTCATTCATAAATTCAACCATCAACGTTGTTTACTAATACTACTAATATGTTAAACATAAACATATTTTTATTTGTCAGTCAAGGCACTCTATGAAAATTTCTATTTGTGCCGATTTGTCAAAAACGAGTGGACTAAAATATAAAGTGTGTTACATCATTGTAACCGGAATAAAATATTTTATTAAAAACATATATAATATACAGGATGTTCCATTTAAAAAAATATGATGTCAGAAAATTACTTGGAAAAAAACTTGCCTATTAACTCTCCATTCTGGTTTTTTGTTTACCTTGATATTTCTAAAAACAAAAAAGTTACAACCAATTAAAATGTTATCAAGATAAATTGAACGCACGGTACAAGAAAAACATGAAAGCATTCTTGAAGTTTTCACAATTTGAAAACTTTCTCTTTCTTTCCTAACGGTGTGTGCTGTGCCCAGAAACGGGAAACTTCATCGAAATTTAACGAACTTCTACATGTTTCGAGATACCAATAATGCGACTAAATTTTAAAACCGTTGCAGTCGATTGAATGGACAAGAACTTGAGAATGTTAAATCGTTCCCGTTCCTTCGAAACGAAAGTATACACTTTTGATATTTTAGAAACTGTTTACCATTGTCTTTCGAGAAGAAAGTAAACTCCGCATTCTGCATGTAGTTAGAAAAGGCTACAAATTTTGTTAAAAATTGTCAGTTTTACTTCAACAGTCTACCTACCTTGACTTGGCATAGCAAATCACGATATGACGATTTTAATTCACAAATTTAAGATTTTGACGTAGAATGCTTAAATCAGAATCAGAGACTTATAGCTGAAGAAAAAATTGCAAATAATAGCAACGGACGTACATTACTATACGATAGACTATAAAATCACTTTTGAACTCTTCGAATTTGTAAGGTAAGAAATGCTCCGTCTTATTGAATTATTTTTTGTTGAAGTCAAAAATGTTATATAAACATCAATTTTTGTTTTTTTTACATGTTTGTTTAGTTCTGAGACGCTTCTCTATTTGTATCCGTTTTTATTCAACTACCAAAAAATAAGCTGTTAAAGTTCAGCCCATTCTTCACTAGATACCTTAGATAATGACATTTACATGTAATGAGTTGGAATGGAACATCTGTGGGTCAAATGTTCGCAAACATTTGAACAATTTTGGTTGATCGCAAGTATTCATTCAATACATCAGGCAAACAAAGAGAAGGGAGACGATAGAACGAAAAACGATATCCACAACGCAATATATAGGGCAACGCTTGCTTGCCTCTAAACCTACAGCCGCAAAACAAGGGGTGTGGAACTGAAAGTCAGCGGCGTCACCTAAAATAATATTTCACGTAGAAAATATGCATTTTTAAAGAAATGTGACGGTGTACTAATACAAGTGTCTAAAAACGTCATGCAGGAGTAAAAAGGAAGTTTAATTTTAATTCTCCGAGACAAAGCAAATTAGTCAACAAATTAGTAATAAATTGAAAAGCCGTAAGGGAAAGAAATTAATAAATAAAAAAAAAATCAATCCCTCTTGAAAAAACTTCACAAACGTTAGAAATTTTGGCGTCTTCATCGACTAAATTGATCAAACCTGGACAGAAAATCATAAAACTGGAACTTGCAACGGAAACTACATTTTTCTATTTGGTTTTCTAAAAACACCACAAAATAAATATTGATCTCGGCAAGGGTAATATAGAGAGTTTGCATGTCCTAAAACAAGTTAAAAGTGACGCCGCTGCTAGCCTGGGATTATGAAGATCTGAGAATGGATCCGATATGCCTGCGCCAGGTACGGGATGATAGAAAATCAACTGGTGTCGTCGTCGACACATTTGACACAAATGGAGCGTTGATTACAAAGCAAAATTTTCGCCATTCAATTTTTCCGGCGTAATAAGAAACAACTGTGATTTAAATTCAATTTCTTTTTTTTTGGGTTGACTAGTGACTAAAACTAGATACCTTAGATAAACTACAAAATTGTCAAAATTGCCAACCAAACTTCGAAACTGGCAAGTACGATAAATAATCATTTTTACTTACAAATAATTTTTTAGTCATATTATTGACATTCTTCTGTTTTGCACGAGATGAGATCTTAGCCGGTACTACGTACTCTGAGGAGACGTCAGCTAATGAACGTTGCTATCGGTTATATGTTATACGAGGGTCAAGTTTCATTTATAGTAAACTGCGCTAGGAGAGCGTTGGAAATGTTTATTCGAACACGTTTTTGGTCTCGCGTGACTAAATCCTGATTTAAAATGTGATAAACACATTCTTCGTACATTTTCATAACCTCTGCTGCCTTTCTCATTTTAATTCGATGATCGTTTAACACCATTCCCGAACGTTCATCATCTCCTAAGCTCTTACGGCCACGTTTAAACTCAGCCGCCCAAAATTTTACTAGCTAAATGGCAGTGCAGAATCCCCATACACCGAGTCCAGCTTAACTTTAATTTGCGTAGCCGTATTGCAGTTCAAAAACAAATATTTTATAAGACCTCTGTACTCAATTATTTCCATTTTCACGAAAATATTCCCATCGACTCACTCAAACGACTCTCAACAAAAAATCATGTTTCAAAAATGGCTGAAACTTTGGTAAATAAAGTGCGCAACTACGATCGCTATCTTTTAGTACCTAGTGCCGCCATCTTCAGGGTGAGGTCGGAAACTTTTCCAGTGACCCTCGTATATCTTAGCAATTGGATTTTCATGAAGAGTTAAACATATTAAAGTTTTCTATTATTTTATAACCAAAAAAAAATTCTAAAATCGAAATCCGTACCATTAAAAGAATATAAAATTGTGCGTTTGGCAGTTTATTCTTCAATAATTTCAGTCAGATTGCAAAAATATTGTTTTTTTCCATGAAACATTATGATATATACATTAAAATTAAAGAATTCTAGAACCAATATTTCCTCTCTCGTTTAATTTATAATTATGACTAATCCAATTTAAGCGTATAATACTGGTTTCGCTAAGTTGACAATTAGGGGAACCTATAGTCCATTTGAATATCACGTGCAAGGCACTATTTTAAACAAATAATTAACATTAATATGAAATACAAATAGCTCGAGACTACTTCAGTATCCTATACTAAGACAAAAAGCGAGGTTTAACTTACTTAAATCGGGTTCGTTGTGGAAAATAAAGCCAGGCAGGATCGGTTGAAACGACATGCCCACATCGCATCATGCAAAATTGGAAAATGGTTCCATTTTTCATGAATCAAATTAATCGGTTGCTTGAACGGTAGAAAAAAATCACGAAATATGGAACGGGGTATCGAGAAAATATACAAATATGATTATTAAATAAAGAAGTTCAAATTAAACGTCGTGGTTGTCTTCTCACAGTCTCCGTGCCTGCCGACGATATTTACCCAGGTGTTTACCTGCCGTACCCATGTTGAGTATCGATATTTCGCCAAAATAGCTGCCAGCTTTCAGTGTTGCCAATACGGTTCGCCCGTTATCGGCTACAACCTGAAGCCGTCCCCGGTTTACGATGTACATTTCTTTTCCCACTTCCCCTGAAACAAAAAAATGGCTATTAACAAGATTGATTTCACTTCGCGGCTTTTGTACTCGTAGTAAAAAGAAGCCCGTCCGCGGTTTCTCGTCTTAGAAGAGCCCTTCATTTCTCGGTCGTGCTCTTACAGACCATTATGTAACTTTCACAAAATACATGAAATTCACACTGTATTTCAAATAATCACTAGACCGAACTTCAAATTCATGTCAAACATTGGAGAATATAAAAATTTTCCTATCAATTTTTTCAAATATATGTCTTACCTCTAGAAAAACAATTTTTTTTGGAACGGTAAAAATGTATTCTTCCAATTTTTAAAAATACTTCTCATTATCGGTTCTGGTCGAATTTCAATAGGTCATATTTGGTGGTGCCTGTGCGAAATCTGAGGTGGGACCTGAAAATTTGTTCTGGAGCTTTCTAGGAAAATCGACGAAAAATGACGCCCATATTTCGTTGGCAGAATAGCGTTTTATATACTTAAAACGGAGACAGTGCACCATTATAGCTCAAACGACTATCGAATTATAAAGATTTTAAATCCATTAGAGATTAACGGCGTAACAGTCATAGTGGAAAAGAGAAACAGAAAATGAGACTACTCTTTTTAGATTCGGAGTCTAACTTTAAAGTTATGCTATGCTTTGAAAAAAAATATAAACATTTGCACCAAAAGTAGCTATTTGATAGACAAAAACCTATTTTTCCATTCAAAGAAAATTGTCCATTTGACCACAGCTACGCGGTACACAAATTTGAAATCAATAGCTCCAAATATCGGCCACTTGCCTTGTTTCTTAACGATATTCAAAAGACAACTAATAATAGGCAACAAAGATATTTTCAATTAATTTTTCTCTAATTATTTTATTGTATAAAAATGTTTAAATTAATGTAGTTAGTGCAGGACTCAAGCTTGGCACTTAAAACTAAAACCCAGGGTTCCTGATTTCCCAAAAATATTTTTATCTGTAATATAGTATATTATGCAAGTGCGGTAAGTGGAATTTGACTGACGAGTTTATTTGACATTGGAGCGAGTGTTTAATAAACGAGTGACTTATAGTATATTATGCAACAAGTGCGTTAACGGCATATACTGTTTCTACGACCGTTAGTTTTTGTGTACATTATCGCAAAACAACACAAATAGATTCACTGACATGATCGTCAGAATTGACAAACGTCAAAATTCAATCTTCAAATCCGTGCGGTAAAATCCCGGAAATGTCCGAAGTGGCTCGGATTCGTGGGAAACGAAACTGACGTGGTAAAGTGACGTTTCTCGCACGCTAAATCGGTGTGTAATTAGGTATTTTATAGACGGGAGTAGAAAATAGTATATTATGCAACAAGTGCGGTAAACGGCATTTGACTCACGAGTTTATTTAACACGAGCGGAGCGAGCTTTTAATAAACGAGTGAGTCAAAAGGTTAACCGAAGGTGTTGCATACTATACTTTTTCTACGACCGTTAGTTTTTGGGTAGTTTGACTGTCAGAATTGACAAACGTCAAAATTCAGAGCGTGGGAAATACCTCCGATTACTCCCAGATCCGTGCGGTAAAATCCCGGAAATGTCCCATGTGGCTCGGATTCATGGGAAACGAAACTGACGCGGTAAAGTGACACTTCCCGCATGCTAGATCGGTGGGTAATTAAGTATTTTACAGATGGGAGTAGAAAAAATACATTAACAAACATATTTATAAAAAAGTCCATTTCATCTAGAGGCTATGGTTTAATACATTAATTTAAATTAATGTACTGTACTTCAATGAAACTTCAATTAGTATTTATTACTATTCATCTACAAAGATATGCAAATCGTCACAAATATGTTTAAAACGCACTCTAGATCGGTGGGTAATTAGGTATTTTACAGACGGGAGTAGAAAAATATATTTATACAACCTTAACTAATTTAAATAGCGAATAATATTTTTTACATATTTTAAGCAGAACATGCTATATTTTTTATTTTCATCCGTTTTATTTTTCACTAACACATTTTTTCTATCTCTCGCCATTTATGAATTGTTAACGCATTCTGTAACCTCATGTGCAAAACGATACGACGGTCGAACTTCCGTTTTGACTGATATCGACGGAAACTTTTGTGTATTTAAAAGGGCAACTTATATTCTTTTATACTATTTTGAGAATAATTGCTCCATAGATCGCTATAACAACCATAAATAATTTTTTCAGGGCGCCTCGTCACGGAAAGGTTGGAAGTGCTTTACTTTACTTATCTAGAAATAGAACACAGAAAGATTTTTTTTTCGAAAGACTAATAGTAATTGCAATATGTTTAAATATACTAAAAGGATGTCGAACTTCCATTGTCTTTATTTTTAACTTACACAACGTTTCGGACAGTTGTATCATTACCCGTTATCAAGTGTAAACTAAACTTAATTCTAAGGTTACAAGGTTTATATACTAAGCGACGGCGCTCGTCCATAACGGAGTCGGGTGTAGTCAAGCGTAAAGTTGTTCCAACTAGAACGCCAGCATTGGTGCGCCTTATTAGAGGTTGCCAAATTGTTGATAAATCCGCGCTTGGATTGCTGAATATGTTTTCTAATGAAAACTGCTTCTTGAAATTTGCGCTTTATCCAATGCTGCTCCCTGTGAACAACCCGCGCTCTGGACCATTTGAGGTTGTGTTGTTTGGTCCACACATGTTCTGCGATACCTGATTTTTGCGTAACACCCTTCATTGTATGTTTCTTATGTTCTTCAACTCTTAAGTTTGTAAGTTAAACAAACTTACGTTTATAACCACTACTGCACCACAACTTTATTTAGATCACTGGACACGTGTTTCGCCAACCAAGTTGGCATCACAGGCAGATGATATAAAGTATATAAACTTATATAAAATATATAAGTTAAAAATAAAGACAATGGAAGTTCGACATCCGTTTAGTATTTCTACTGAATCAGTGTCTACCACCCTCAAGCAAATGTTTAAATATGCTAATGAAATTATTAAAAATTAAGCAGGTATGAAATATCCCCGGTAATTTACTAAAATGCGGACTACATGATTTCCACTGCACTTACAGTACAGTGCTCATGTGAAACTACTTAGCTTCATTTACCTGATAAATATCTGCAGTAAGGATTTCCGAAGCAACAAACATTTCACGACCTCTCAACTACTTTCCCAAGGGACGTTTACTTAGCTAGCGCTGTAATGTCTTAATAATATCTCGGGAAACACTAGCTACAAAGCGCGACAGGTTTCTTTCTCCATTTAATATAATTGTTTTTCATCTGAAATGATTTAATAAAAGGAAATGAAAATAAAAGCAAACCACTAATGTGGCAAAACTGACTACCCAGCGAGAATGACTGTCAAATATGTTGTCATAGAATCGGTAGAATTTCTCATATTTATGAAACATCACAAGTTTTAAATGTTATTTTCTTTGAAAGAGTTCATAAAACGACCGTTATTTTCGCGTCTTGCATTTATTTGCGACTCAGTTATTGCCCATATATTTGAAGCAGCAAAAGTTTTCATTTATTTGCCATTTAAAAATAAAAATAATTGTTATAATAGTTTTTCTTGTTATTGTTAGATTTAGAAAGGTGTTTTGAACTCCCCACGCTATACTTATTCAAGATATCAAGAGTGCCAACAAAATTTTCTAAACGATTTTTCGGGCTGTTACGCCGGGATGTGTTGGTTTTTATACCAAATCTATAGATCAGGCAACCGTAATTCGTACTATTAAAACTACCCTTTTAGCAGTGGAATTAGTCTAATTACTCCCAATTAAATAAATCGTAAGGAAATCGCTTGGACCCCAGTTAATTTAATATGCTCAATTTTCAATTCAATTAGTAGATTCCCTCGTAGGAATAGTTCTCGACTGGTTAAATATCAGCTTTTCAAATTAATCTGTTGCAGAGGAAAATTGAAAAAAATATATTTTGACTGAGAACTTGTATCTGGAAAAGCGCTAATAAATATTCTACAGGAGTGAAATAAAAATATATTTTATTCTACTTACAATAAAAGATTTATTCTCATGGACACATTTGCGGGTTATTGTCAGAGTTAAAAAGTTATCCTACTTCTGCATATAATATTAAAAAATCTGTGGATACTTGTTGTGTAACTTTGTATCGTACTCTGGAAATAATTCTGTTAGAACGCATTGAAGTATGTTGAATTTCTCGACAAATCACCAAAACTATATGTGTTTTAAACTTATGTTATGTATGTAAAATACATGTTATGTTATGTAATAATTTGATTTTACTATAGGGGGGATAAAAATTGGGACCGGATTTTGGCGATCGTGTTACTTTATTAAGTAGATAAATACAACAATATTTCTACACCTTTTGGTTTTTTATTCGTTCAGTAAGAGTGGTATCAACCGGTGGTTAGATGCTTCCAATCATGTTATCAATGAGTTGCTGGGCCTTATTTACCACTTTATACACGGTTTATACAAATTTTCTTTTTTAAGATGCTTGAACTAGCCTCCATTATAAACTAAATTTGTTTTTCTACCCATTACTTTAACATAGCCAACTATGCACGCATGAAATGTGCGGAGAGTGTCACCTTAAGGCGTCAGCTTCGTTAGCCACGGTCGTGAGCAATTTTGCTCATTTCCGGTACTTTAGTCAAAGGTTTGAGAGCGATCGGCTGTTTTCGGTAGACTTTAACCACATATGGCATTTTGATGTCTACAAGTCATTCAATGAATAATATATCGTTTGTCTTTTTTATATAGACCGAGGAAGTATCATTTTTATTTCTTAATTACTGAGAAGAAGAAATCTGCTTCCTCTGTCGGTCCAAAGCTTAACTAAAACTTTTTTCGTTAAGCTGTATAGGCTTCAGTTAAGAACCGAAGAAGCTAACAGGATTAGTGGCGAAACGTCGGTAAATTATATTACAGTGGCTTGTTTCATTGAAAAATACGAAAAAAAGTAATTGTTAATGCTTCCTAACGATAATTAAAAGGACAGTCAGCCTGCAAAACATTGCCGGCCTCCCTCCTTTAGTTTTCGGCACTCATCAAGAACACTGTAATGGGTGTCGCAGATATAGTTATTTAACAATATAGTGACACTACGATAGTCAAAATTAATGGGTCGCAGGCGGCTTTGATATTTTGGCAGAGGAGGTTATGCCTCTGCATTTCATTTTCTTTGTAAATATCGATATCCACACACACATAACTCATTTTACCCGAATATTTTACGAGATCTAGGTATATTTTGAGAAAATACTGCCTTCAAAAAAACCGCATTCAAACTTACTGACGGCCAGTCAGCGACCATGTTTGTTGTTCAATGCGCAAGGTTATGGGTTAAAAACGAGATGTCAATATTTATCATTTATTATTAATTTATACTTGGAGATTCGGTTTGGCTTGAATGGAATGAAATTGTTTTCGTAAGTATGAGAATGAAAATTCGCTGTTCACAGATATAAGAAAGTGACTAACTGATACGAATTAAGGAAAGACCCGGGCAAGCTGTAAGAATGAAATATGGCCGAACAGGTCCATACTTTGCTTAGAAATTTGGGGTTTTGTTAGGAAAGATACTAAACAATAATAATGTTTAATATGTTTAAATCTAAAATTAAATTACTTAAAATTATTTTTTTTAGTCAACTGTCTACTGTGATAACTTGCATTGTCCCATTACAATGACGCTATTAGGAGGAATGTTTGGAACTAGTTTGTTTTTAAACCAACTTTCAAATAAATCAGCGGTGGTAATCCAAAGAAGAATCTTTAATATTTTTCGCAGACAGAGAAAGTCCATTTGGAATCCAACCATCTTTAGAGCCAACATGCAAAATAGTTATACTTTCACCTCTTTTTGATGGCGCATTTGTTTTACACTTCAGTTGAGTCAACCCAACCCATTTCCGGGGTATCATAAGTGTCGAAACAGGTTTCATACAAGTAAATAATTGGCCTTTGTTGTTCTCTGTAAATCCTATTTTTTTCTAGATATTCCAGTCGCCATTTCCGAATTCTAAAAGATTCCATTAAAACTTGCCTTTTGTCAATTTTTTTAAATCTAAAACCCATGTGTTGAATACACTTCCACATTTAACACCGGTTTCATCTTTTTCAAGCCTCCTAATTAAGCTATCTACGCACGCTTTGTTCCTCGTATAACTGGTAAATTTTGCGCCGTTTTATATCTTGATCACTTTCATCTACACTCGAGAAAATGTCAGCATCGCTTCTTTGTTTCCTCGCTGAAATGGGATTATTCACAATTTTCCATACAGTTGATGCTGGAATTTTCATGGCCGTGTCTTCTAAAGATGCTTGCTTGCTGGCACCACGTTCAATGAGAGTCATATATGTTTATAACTTTCTTAGTCTCAATAGAATAGTGTTTTCTACATTTGGGCGGGAGCATCTTCTGAGATACACTAGACTCGCACATATTTTGCATAATTCGCACACGATTCAACACACGCTGTATTACACACGAAATAAGAATGATTACTAATAAACTTAACCTAAGTGGAATACCAAACCAAAGAATATTAAATACAGGTAGGTATAAAATTATTTTCTATTACGGACCACAATTTTCCCTGAATTTAAATTCCGAAACTTTAGGTAATAATCTTGTTGCATCGTGTGTTAATGACCACCCTTGGATAATCCCATTCAAAAGCAATTGGGAACTTTCTTATATCTATGAACAGACCATACCCACAAATATGCGAATTTGATCCAGGAATGTTTTGTTCGAATAAGAATTTGCGATTTATACTTCGATACGACATTCTGCCGACGTGTGTTTAGATAAGCTTTGAAAAATGTATTAAAAATATTCAATTTGAATATATCTCCGGTCATTGATGAGTTCAACACAACGTTAGAGAACATTTTCTCCCAAGCCCTTATAAATAGGTATACGACAGGAGGGCACGCGATACTATTTTATGTACAAAATAAAATATATATATATATATCTATATATATATATATATATATATATATATATATATATATATATATATATATATATATATATATATATATATATATATATATATATATATATATATATATATATATATATATATATATATATATATATATATATATATATATATATATATATATATATATATATATATGATGACACTATATTCCGGGATATCATCCGTTCGCTCGTTGAACTCCGACTGGAATCCTGCATCCGACTGGAATCCTGCAAATCTTGCATCCGACTGGAATCCTGCAGACGTTTAGAACACTCGAAGTGTTTTCGGAGCGCGAGCATTGAAGATGCCAAGTGAGATTTTGGCGAAACGTCTGCAGGATTCCAGTCGGATGCAAGATTTGCAGGATTCCAGTCGGATGCAGGATTCCAGTCGGAGTTCAACGAGCGAACGGATGATATCCCGGAATATAGTGTCATCACATTTTTCCATCCGTGAATCAATACGTGAGAATATATATATATATATATATATATATATATATATATATATATATATATATATATATATATATATATATATATATATATATATATATATATATATATATATATATATATATATATATATATATATATATATATATATATATATATCACATTTTTCCATCCGTGAATCAATACGTGAGAATATATATATATATATATATATATATATATATATATATATATATATATATATATATATATATATATATATATATATATATATATATATATATTCTCACGTATTGATTCACGGATGGAAAAATGTGATGACACTATATTCCGGGATATCATCCGTTCGCTCGTTGAACTCCGACTGGAATCCTGCATCCGACTGGAATCCTGCAAATCCTGCATCCGACTGGAATCCTGCAGACGTTTCGCCAAAATCTCACTTGGCATCTTCAATGCTCGCGCTCGCGAGTGTTCGAAGTGTTTTCGGAGCGCGAGCATTGAAGATGCCAAGTGAGATTTTGGCGAAACGTCTGCAGGATTCCAGTCGGATGCAGGATTTGCAGGATTCCAGTCGGATGCAGGATTCCAGTCGGAGTTCAACGAGCGAACGGATGATATCCCGGAATATAGTGTCATCATATATATATATATATATATATATATATATATATATATATATATATATATATATATATATATATATATATATATATATATATATATATATAATTATTTGTTAAAACCAAAACTTAGACCTAATAAAATAATATTGTTGCGTGTCAGCACTTACCCTTTCTACAAATATAATCACCGGGCGAAAACAGTACGGGCCTAAGTCGTAGTACTAGTTCGCACAAGAATCCAGCTTCGGTGTTCTGGAATATCTCTACTCTTTTCAGAGTGTCCAAGTGAACGTTAATTGCTATCTCGGCTTTGAGTTTATCGGGTAAACAGGAAACAGCTCGCTCCTCGTCCGAACATTTTTGAGTCAGCCACAAGTAATCGAACCACTTGATGACCTTGATTTGAAGATGCGTCGGTACCCTCCGCATGCGCATATAGGTTTTCACGCCGTCTAATTTTGCTGAAACGATAAGAAGAGCAAGTTGAAATATTTATAAATTAGTTACTAATTGGTGACGATACAACAGTAAACTAAGTTAATTAATAATATATTTAATGTTGAAAACTGTTGTACCAATTAATGGAAAACATAAGTTACAGCTAAGATCTATTGTGAATAGTTATAAAGCGTTCGTCTCTCTGATTAGACTCCACAGTTACGATAGTTGCTCCTTGGTGCAGCTACTTTTTTTTTTGTTATCGCAGGGTACACATATATTGACAATTACAAATCTGTAATCTAAGTAAGCTCGTTGATTTTAGTCTATTACAAATTTGTTTATTTAATAGGACTGCACTATATATTAGGAAACGGCTATTAGTTCAGCAATCGATTGTAAAAACTGTGCATTTATTTACCAATCATTGGCAAACAAAAACTTTGGAACGAACGCCTTACAACAGAGAAAAATTTGCTTTGTTGTGTCGGTGCGACGAGCGCATATGGAATATTTAGAGTTTAGAGTCTATCCTCATAGCGAAGGCAAAAAGAGACGATGTAAATTTTAGGATTTGATTATAGTGTCTACACATGCAGTTTAGGTTCAGAATAAGATTATTTTGTGTGTGATTTTGAAAAGGCGAAAAAAAAATGTGCCGGGGAAAGCGTCATTTGAAAAGTGGAGAATTCAATATTTTAAAAGATTTTAGTGATGTTCAAATAAAACAGTATTTTTGAGTGACCAGGAATTAGTTTAAAGAAATCCATGACTTAATTAAAGATAGTATTCAAGGCATAGACATAAAAAAGAATACAAGCCATCATTTTGTTTCTTTATTTGTTTGGTGTGTTTCTCTTGACGGAATTTTGCCAGTCTGTTACGTTCTTTGACTTTTTCTTTGTTCGAATATTATGGTTCTCCAAAGTATTGTGCAATTGGTTGGTTGGTTTCTTGCTAGATTTTTTTAAAACTTTGTTATCGCTTCTTGATCAGGTAATTCCATAGAGTTCTCTGGACAATCTCTTCGATCTTATCATGTTGTTTCTGTCTGATTCGGCTAAAGTGCTATCTTCACTATTTACGTCGACTACTTCCTCTGGGCTATTATCTGTGTATTCTGTTCACCAAAAAAGCAATGAAATTGACATGCTTCTTTTGGTTTTCCTCCTGAAAATATCGAAACTAATCTAGATCTCACAATGGTGTTGTTAGCATAAAACTCAGATTTTGCATAAAAAGCTTACGATTTCAAGAAACTATTTCAATATTATGTTCTTTTACATTTCTATTCAATTGAAATAAGTACATTTATTTATATTTTAGATATCTATCAACTGGTGATACATTCAGAGCTATCGAATTTTCCTACCGACTAGGCGAAAGAACTGTTTCTAATATTGTAACTGAAGTTTGTAAGGCTTTTTGCAGGACGTTACAACCATTATATTATGCCAACACCTACTGTGCAACTGTGCATTGATGGTAAACATATAATTATTAAAAAACCGTCACACGGCGGATCATCTTATTTTAATTACAAACAGTATTTTTCAATCGTATTGATATCAGTTTACCTGCACTGATGGATGATCAATGGGTAGATTGAGTGACGAAAATGTATGTGGTCATAGTAATTTAGGAAAACGACTAGGCAATAATTCTTTACAACTACCAGTTCAAGCTACTGTTACTCCTAACTAATCTAATGCGTAATTTTATGAATTTTTTAAATAATTACCACAACAAAATATTTACTTACAGGTAAATTCTAAAAAATATTATCTATTTTTAGGTAAATTTCTGACAATTTTGAGTTGTCCAGAGCTAGTCAAACTGTGGAATGTGCATTCGGCATGTCGAAGACCATTTGAATATAAAGTTGATACAGTGCATCACGTAGTAAAGGCTGCTTGTGTGTTCTTCTTCGATGATGTAGAAAATGATCGACATAAAGAATTTTTTCAATGGAGTGAATGGTTTTCAAGAAAATAATTTCTTTCCGAAACTATGCAGTCCGTCGTAATAGTCAATGACGTCATCGCGTCAAAATGGGGCGTGAGAATCAGCGATTTTCTTATGGATTTTTTAAAATATCTCTAGCGGCGCGTGTGATAGACGAAAACCGCAAATACAAAAAATGTTACTCGTGATGCGACCTATAACACTGTTTGAACCAATTGGCCATATTTTTTACGAATTTTGATTTGCGGTTAATAATTTATTTCCAAAAGTATAAATTTCACGGTCTTTTAGATTTTTGTCCACAATTGAAAAGAAAAGCCTAAAACAAAAGTCATAGCCTCGGATCTCCCGCATTTTCTGGCTCTAAAATTTTGCCGATCGGTTGAATAGTTTTTGAGAAAAATCATGTTTTTCTGTAAGACAGAATATTCAAAGAAAATTTTTCAAAATTTTTCAAAAAATATTTGGTGACATTTCATTACGCTCAATTTCTACTGTTTAGATGTGCGTACTTTAAAAGTTTTAGCTGTCCATACGAGCTATGTAAAAAAACTGGCAACAGAATCACAGCCTTCTTGTTATGGTCAATTATCATCACAAAGGGAGACCAATTTTCAGGTTTTTTGAAAATTACCGACGCACCCTGTAGATTTTTAAAAAATCATCAAGAATAAAGGTTTTTGATCCGGATCTTGCGCGTTGTTTGGATAAAGAATTTTTTCAATTGCATATACCGTCTTGGAAAAATGGTTTTTTTCTCGATACCCTGCAAATGCGGTTTTTAATTTTTAAAAAATACTTCTCGACCCCCCGGCCCCCCCGTTTCAATAGGCTTCGTTAAGGAGTTACACTCTATATATATATATATATATATATATATATATATATATATATATATATATATATATATATATATATATATATATATATATATATATATATATATATATATATGTCAAGTGGACAGCTTCAAATTTCAGGGACTTATCGTGTTTCATAGCAAAGTCCAAAAAACACATGAAAATCTAAAAAAACATATGGACGCCGTGGTTTGAGTGGACCCATTTTTTACTGCTTTGTGTAGCTTGTGCACTGCTTAAAAGGAGTCAAATTTGAAAGCCGTGTAGCAAACCGTTCGAAAGATATAGTCAATTAATGCCAAGTCTACAGAGAAACGGAGAACGGAGAACAGAAAAAAAAAGTTTTTTTTTTGACGCTGATCATTTCTGTACCAACCTACTACCTACCGTTGCCGAGATATGTGTCGTTGCCAAGCGCGTATACTTTGGAAAAATTCGATTTTATCGATTTTTCGAATGTAACAAGAAGCGCAAACGAAGCATTTTTGATTCGAGAAAATTTCAAAAAATATTTTAATTCACGATTGAGATCGGTATCAAATCAAAAAAAAAATCAAATGCAGTTCAATGGGGGTTGTGCTGCATTGCTTTCAATGTGCGGCTGGTCTAATAGTAAAACACGGTTCGACAAAAGACAGGGTGGAGTAAATGGTAGCGCAAAAAATAAGTAGACGTTATACAAGTTATTGGATGTGCGTTCATGGTTATTAGTACTGTAGTTTAGTTTATAAATTATTTTGTGAACTAACAATACGGTACACCTGTATGAAAAACAGACAGATATATTTTCGACCATAACATTGAAACGAACAAATAAAATGAAACTCCTGAATGGCCCTACCCAACTTTTAACGCATTGCGCCAAAAATTAATGGTAACAAATTTAAATATTTGGGTAGCGCTTGTTCCAGAATGCATTCGTATTATACACAACTAATATTTCATAATTAATGATGATTCTGTAATGTTTTTACATTCAATGCACATCGTTTTTTTGCTTAAACCGATATGGGAAATGTAACAACGATATTTATCATTTCGACAAATTATTTCGGCAATTTCTGATAAATTTCGACAAGGCAATTAAAAAAATAATTGGTCATAACGCCACCATAAATCACGAAGGCGTTATTAATTGCGATAATATTTTGTGTTGATGGTTCGGTTTACCGCGTCGTTAAACAAAACACTCGGTGTGATGTTTGAAACAAATCGAACCTAAAACCCGATTCGCAATTTGTTAAAAACGTCTTTCGTTCTTGTACTTTTGATACTTCCGTGCAATTTGATCTATTATACGTCTTTTATAAAATTGTTTTATTTTGGGGCAAAGCTTTTAAGCAATGGAAACAAAAGCTAATTCCAAATTCTTAATGGGTTTGGGTATACTGTAATTTAAGTCTTATTTAAACTGAGCCAACTAGCGTCTCCTTCAAGCAAACGAGGATTATAACGAACAAAATTTAAGTTTCGAGTAACTTTGAAAGCCCCCCGGATAATAATAAAGATCGGTTTAGAGATAATTAAAATAGAAAACCCTATCTTTATTGTTCGCCTAGAGACTTGAACGAGCCAACATTACTTTGTATATCAGTATAAAATTGGAACTGGTATCTATTGTCATCCGTTCTGGAATGTATCTGGATAGCATTGAAGCACATATGAATGACCTCAAAAAAAAATGATTAACTTGGAATGCAAGAAATTAAGGTAAGAATGAATCGTATAGCAGGCGAAAGTGCATGCCATCCAAGTCAGTGCAAGAATAGTGCTAGGGAAGCTAAATCCGATGACATAGATACCTGGAACTTTGCCGGTGCGAGGATGGTAAGGGTAAACTTAAACTTTCTAGCAATAGCACAATCGGTATCGACTACTTCTAGCCAATTACTAGCACATTCAATCAATTGAAGTCGCATAGTCGATACCGTTAGAGATTACTGGTAGCAACGGAAGTCTGACATGTCTGACCTCTACAAATAACGTAAATCCACCATATTAGATTTTGCCACATTCGCTCCCTGCTATTTAGACTACATTAAAATTAAAGTAGGTATTTTTAGGTATAAAATCTTTCGAAGTATGTATATTTATGTCTTACGTAATTTAATACGTTACGTATCTAACATATGTTCAATATAAGGTTCAAAAATAATTCAAATTAATTTTTTACTTTTATACGAAAACGCTAAAAGGCC